CAAGTGTAATGCCCGTGGACACAAAGCAATTAACTGTCCAACTCTAGCAAGAAAGTGCTTCTTATGTGGCAAGCAAGGGCACGAAGCTAGAAACTGCCGCTCAAACAAGGAGAAGTCAGGAGGACAAAATAAAGATGGTAACCCTGTGCAACGTGGTCAAGTTAGTGCTGGCTGTTTGGTTAAGCCACCCGATGTTAACGCTACTCCAGAGGAAGTCAAGTCGTGTAGTGAAAATGATCAGCTTCTGTTGGCCTGTGGGAAGAAAGTCCCGTTGCTGAGCAATGCTTGTGTTGAACCCTTAACTGGAGTAAGAAGTAAGATGCCTGTTGTAAAGGGTAGAGTTGGAGAGAAGACTGTTGACGTTTTAAGAGATACTGGTTGCAGTGGAGTTGTAGTCAAGAGGGATCTTGTCGGCGAGGATCAGCTCACCGGAGACTTTAACGTTATGTTGCTTATTGACAACACTGCAAGGAAGGTGCCCATAGCAAGAATTTTATCTTAAGGGCCACGTAGAAGCGCAGTGCCTTTCAGATCCTATCTACGACCTTATTATTGGCAACGTACCTGATGCTAGGGACGCATATTATCCAGATCCCAGTTGGCAAGAGGCCTGTGCCGTGACTACAAGAAGTCAAGCTAAGAAAAAGGATGAACGCACAGCCTTGAAAGTACCAAGTAGCCGTGAGAGCCCTATCGTGGATAGAGAGAAGCTCAAACAGATGCAACGTGAAGATGAGAGTCTGCGCAAATACTGGGATCGAGACGATGTGCTAGTAAAGGGTCAGGCGGAAATTTCATTTGAAGAAAAATGTGGAGTACTGTACCGTCTGTACAAGCACCCTTATGTCCATGGTGGTAAACCGCTTAAACAAGTCATGGTACCTGAAAAGTTGAGGCGCCCCATAATGGAAGTAGCTCACGGATCGATCATGGGCGGTCACATGGGCATCAAGAAAACAACAGACAAGATCCAGAGTGCGTTTTATTGACCTGGAATTCATGCTGACGTGACTCGATTTTGCAAGTCCTGCGACGTTTGTCAGAAGACCGTAAATAAGGGATCAGTGCCGAAGGTACCGCTAGAGAAGATGCCGCTGATTGACAAGCCCTTTAAGAGAGTAGCAATAGATCTTGTTGGTCCTATCAGTCCCCCGAGTGTAGAAGGACACAGGTACATCTTGACGCTGGTAGATTTTTCGACTCGCTACCCTGAGGCTGTACCACTAAAGAAGATTGATACAGAGACAGTAGCAGAAGCATTTGTGGATATTTTCAGTCGTCTAGGAGTACCCGAAGAGATTTTGAATGATCTGGGCACACAGTTTGTTTCTGATTGTATGAGAGAAGTTACTCGACTATTAAGCATTTTGCAGCTTACGACCACGCCCTATCACCCAATGTGTAATGGTTTGACGGAGAAGTTTAACGGAACTATGAAGTCTATGCTGAAGCGAGTAGCCAAGACAGTGGCATCGCTACATAAACAGCTCAACTCAAACAGCTGTGGACGAAAGAAGTCGAGGAACCTGAAGTAAAGAACAGTTACCAGTATGTTTTTGAGTTGCGAGAAAAGTTAGAAGATACCCTCAAACTCGCTCATTGTGAATTGGAGAAAGCTCAGCAGAAGGGAAAGCACTATTACGATCGCAAGTCCAAAGTGAGGAAGTTTCAGCCAGGCGAGAAAGTACTTGTGCTACTACCTACCGACCACAACAAGTTACTTATGCAGTGGAAAGGTCCCTTTGAAGTCAGTTCAGTGGTAGGTCTCAATGACTACAAGGTGAAAGTTAAAGGCAAGGAGAAAGTTTACCACGCTAACCTCCTCAAAAAGTATTTTGAGCGAGAGGAGACTACAGTCGAAGGAGCAGTAGCTGTTGGAGCAGGCGCTACGAGTATAGAGGATGCTGTCGACTGTGAAGCCAACGTTGATGAAGCAGAGGAAGAAGAGGTTGATTTCCTAGAGCCTGGTATGTAGCCAAGGAATCAATTCAGGATGTTGCAACTAGACCGAATCTTACGGACGAGCAACAAACTGAATTGACGGATCTGGCTAAACAGTTCACGGATTTGTTCACTGAAGCACCAGGTACCACAGATCTCGTTCAACATCATATTAAACTCACCTCAGACGAGCCAGTTAGATCAAGACCTTACCCAGTACCTTACAGCATGAGAGAATCACTGAGAAAAGATATTGCCGACATGATCAAAATGGGAGTTATTAGAGAGTCCAGTTCTCCGTATGCGTCGCCTGTTGTAGTGGTGAAGGAAAAAGACAACATAAACCCCGTGTGTAATGATTATCGGAAATTAAATAGAATAACTGTATTTGATGCTGGTCCTATACCAACGCACGACTAATGCGATGGGCCATGTTTTTACAAAGTTACAATTTCAAGGTGGAAGCCACCAAAGGATCAGAGAATGTTGGAGCGGATTATCTTAGTCGAGTAGAAGAGTAACCTGAGAGACACTGGACTACCCCTGTTGTATATTAGCTTACAATTTTTCTATTGTATTGGAAATTTAGGAAATTTCTTCTGAAAGGGGGTTATGTTACGAAAAATTGTATTGCTAGAAGGTTCGCGAGAGTTCATAGCTTGTTTATTTTAGGTTCTTATGTAAGCGTTTCTAAAAGCGGTATATTTTGTAATCTTTCTATAATTAGACTATTTGGAAAGTTCTAGAACTTTATTGTAAAAGTATATAAGTAGGCGAGTTCGAGTTAAGTTTTAACTAGTTTTCACAAGCGAAGAGAGTTTGACGTTAGTCGTATTTAGTCAAGTGTGACGAAAGCAGTGTTTATTCAAGTTGGCGGAGGCCGTGTGAGTTTATCAAGTTAATTGAAGTTGGCGGAGGCCGTGTAAGTTTATCGAGTTTTAGTGCTGTTGTGGAATTTTACTCAGTGGAAACTACGTTCATTTGTGGAATAAATCTTCTTGTTACTGTTCCGACAACCCTGCGTTCAGTTTGGTTTGCAAGCTACCCGTCCTCTAACAGATTACCCGCGTAACACGTTGCATCACCCAAAGAACAAATTTATGAGCAAATGACATCTAATCCAACCTTTACAGAGAGAAATATACAAAAAGCCAACGCTTATCTCCTATATTCTCATTAGGAGCAAAAATCTTTACTCACGTATCACACTCTACAGAGCTTGTACGCATGTGTTTGGCTTATCAACACTTTGGCTTTAACAGCGCCGATTGGATCTCCGATAATCTGCATGTGATCTCCAGCCGATATGTGCGAACAATGGGAAAGGAATTTATCTTTCAGTTCAGCAGGCGTTCGTGGGGCAGGAACGCGTGAGTAACCCTAAGTACGTCTGCGTGGGAGGCTACCTGATGAGCGCATATCAGTTCAAGAAATTGAAGTTAGCATTCCTGCTCGCAAGCGTAGGATAAGCGATGATTCGTCCGAAGAGGACTCAAATTCTGTTTCCCTCGCGAGACGGCCGTGAGAAGAAGTCCGCTTATGAAAAGAAACAGACGAAGGTCAAGAATTAACTAAAATGCTTAAAATGAAGCCTCTTTTTCCAATAGGTTTTTTCTTTCTGGCGGGTAGAATATGCTCTGGAGGGTTCTAAGTTTTGATTTAACAACCTTGTTTCACACTGAGAGGTCATGACACGCATATTGATTTTCTGTGGGTTTTGTTTCTGATCGGCAGGATTGGCTCTCTGATGCAAACTTAACGCTCTTTATTGGGGCTAAATAAGGGTTTTAGGTTGTTTAATTTTCTCCAAAGTGCCTCCTGGATCTGAATAACTGTAAGCGATTTTCTTTTGTCCGCGAATGTGATGGTTTCCTGCAATGTTTTGACACGGTGGGCCCACATCCTCGAATGTCAAATGAACGTGATGGGTTTTGTTTGCGTCCTCTGCAACTGAAGAAACAAGTTCCAGATACAATGTTCTGAGCGTCGAGTCTTTCTTCGATTAGTCATTAGCTCTCGATTGGTTTCCAAATTCTTCATGACTTATTGTTAGAGCTGTTCTGATACGAAGTTCTAACACCGGCACAAAGTCAGTACTTTCTAGTCCTTTTAATAGCACCTCTGCTGCTTTCCTGTTTTGATTTCTGCTGTGATTTGCTTGCATTTTAGCGTTTTAGTTCGAATTGCGCGTCGACGTCGCTTTACTGGAATTGTCATTTGGCTGCTTTGATTGTTTTGTACGACGATTATTCCCACTCCTCTGTTTGCCTTTAGTTGTTGTTTGTTTCTTCCTGCCAGGTTCCAGTACCGAAATTGATATTTCATGATCAGGATCGCTGTCCGCGGACTTCAATTCCTTCTAAAAAATTGATATATCATCTAGCAAATCAGTCAACTCCAACGAAATCGTGGAATCTAGCTTCCAATCGCAACAATCTCTCAAGATAAAACCATTTCCTTTGTTTACAAAATCACTTTCGTCGATGAAACGCACCTCCACCCGGGACGCTAATATGTCTTGACAGCGCTGAAGAAAAGTTTGTGCACTTCTCGGGAAACCAATTTCCGATTAATTCAAGCGCTTAATTGGTCTAAGAATAACTTTGGTGAAATTCACATATCCCAAGGACTAGACTGGGCGTTTCCGTCTTTGTCCCATTATGGCTCTTGGTTCATATTAATTTGCAAACAGTGCCCGTTTGTAATCCTTGTGCGCAAATAAAACTTCTATCAGGCAAGGGGAAAACAGACCGAAAGAGCCGAACAGCTACAGCACAACGGGAATTTCACCGAAGCTACAGCCGCAGAAATAAACCACGATATTGTCTGTGCATTCATTGAAGTGAGCGCTGCGTGTGTATCGATTTTGTTACAAAGTAAAACCTAACCTCACAGTTTTAAAATCCTGTATGATGTCGTCTCAATCTTCGATAATGGTTTTGCGTTTTGGTAGAGATTTGTAACAATTTATTCCCTCACATAAGTTTACATAAAGATTTGCATACACATAGCACACACTGCATGCAAATTATTTTTAAGTCACGCTTTCAGTTTCTGCACCAGGTTATGAAAAATGTTTTGTTTCCAAAGGTTATTACAATATTGAAACTTCTTTACCTTTTCAGGTTTAAAATAGCTCTGAAAACGGCTCTTTCCAAGCGCGAAAATCACTCTACAAATGACGCATTCTAATTGGTCGAATCTCGTGACGCACATCGCCTTGCTCCCGGAATGTGCGAGATCTCCATTATTTTTCAGATGATGCGAAAGCCGAATTCAATAGTTGTTTTATTATTCTGCTGTAGGCTATCCTCTTTTTTTTCTCCGTTTAGCACCGTCCGACCGACCCAAATGTTTGGCGTTTTAAAAAAAAGAAAAAGTAACGACTTAGTTAAACCATTTTTTATTTGAAATAATTCTTTTAATCTGAAAAATGAGCATAGTAACAGCATAGAGAAAAACAGGAACAAAAACAGGAACATTATTCAGAGAATATTGTGTATTTTGTTAATCCAAATATGTGAATGTTAACTTTTAACATCGTCCTGGGGTACCAGGGCATCCTATTCCAAGACTTCTTGTGAATTTTTTTTAGGTTTTTTTTTTTCAATCTGAGCGACCGACCCAACATCAGGAAACGTATTCGACGCTAAAAGAAAAAAAGGTGGGGATGGCCTTAAAAACAACTGAGCTAAAACATGCTTACTTCTCATCATGTTAATCATGTTAATCGGTTACTGAGGACATAAAGAGTCCTTCAGCTTCGCAAATATTCTCCAAACAGAAGATGTCGTCCGTCGAGTCGTCTTCTTGCTGTTTCTGCTATGCTTTTAGCAATTAGTTTGCGTATTTATTCCTAGTGAAACGAGTGAAAAGTTCCGCCATTTCTTTTACTCACCCCCAAAACAACTAAACCTCGTCCCCAGGTTTTCTCGGTTAATGGTTCAATGATCTGGTAATTTGACGTCATTTTTGACATGCCGCAAAATTCTTCCAAATTTGGTCGACGATAGCTGGTTATGAAGAATTATGCGTGGGATTTTAGCCAATCAGAAAAGGAGAAATATTTTGAATGAAGAATAAATATACCATCGATCAACGTCCTTTCCATGCGCGGTAGCCTAGCTGTTTATTCCTGGGTTATTCTTTCTTGTTATTCCTGAGTGAACTTTAATACTCGTTCCTCCCTGGTTGAGGAACCATGGAATTCTTCAGGGGCAATTTATTAAAATTGAGGATTTCTTTAGGGGTGGAGTCCAAAAATATGGAATTCTTTGGGGTAGAGCTTTTAACTTCACGAAATGACAAAGGCTCGGGAACGGTTGTTATGGACAAATCCTGGTACATAGACGAATGCAACCGACAGTTAAATGACGCTAAATTCTACAGACAACAACACGGGGACATTACTGACACTATTCAACAGCTTGTTACGGTTTACATTGAACGTATGTTTAAGGACGGTTACATATTGACGAAACGACTAAAAAGTACCTAGTACAAACAAACGTGAAATCAGGACGTTTTTACGTACTACTTAAAATACATAAAAAGGGAAATCCTGGACGTCCCATAGTTTCATCTAACAGCCACCCTACTGAACGCATCTCACAATTTGTTGACTACTACATTAACCCTCTCGTCTCTACCTTGGATTCACACATTAAAGGCAATACTATGACTGACTTCCTTAATGGACTTTCTAACCTCGGTAACCTTACCTAACAACGCTTTTCTTGTAACTCTTGATGTGTCATCGCTTTACACTAACATTCCACACAATCAAGGAATTGATGCATGCCGTCATTTTCTTGATACCCGCTCTAACAAACACATCCCTACAGAGACACTATGTGATCTCTTATACGCATGATTCTCACCGCGAATAATTTCACATTTAACCAACAGCATTATCTTCAAATCCATGGTACTTCTAGGTGTACTAAAATGGCTACTTCATTTGCTAACCTTTTTCTTGGTATGTTCGAAACCAACGCTCTCACTAACGCCCCTTGGCAGCCTCACACGTGGTGGAGATATATCGATGATATTTTCACGAACTGGACAGAAGGTTCGGATCGTTTGAAAATATTCGTCGATTATCTCAATAACATTCATCCCACTATTAAGTTCACTAGCTCTCACTCACTTACTAACGTTCCTTTTCTCGATGTCATGGTGTCTCTACATAACCGTATAATTGAAACTGATCTATGTACTAAACCCACGGATAAACATCGACATCTTCTCAGCTCATCATGCCATCCTCACCACACTAAGAGAGCCATTCCGTTCAGCTTAGCCATTCGCCTCCGCTGTATCTGCTCTACAGACGCTAAGTTTAAACTTCGCATTAATGAACCTAAAACATATCTCGTTGCTCGTGGTTATAATAATAATTTCCTAAAAGAACAGTTTGTGCGTCCTGCCAATACTTCTCGTACTAACGCGTTACAGACTAAACCTAAAGATTCTAACGATGTAGTACCATTTGTTGTCACATATAGCCCAGCACCTCCACGCATTTCTAAAATCCTACGCAAACATTTTGACATCTTACACTCCTCTAACCGTTGCAAAGACGTCTTTAAGCAACCGCCTTTTGTTGCTTACAGACGTAGCCCTAATCTTCGTGACCTTTTAGTTAAAGCACAATTACCCGTTATCTCCAACAATCATTTTCCGCCAGGCTGCTTCCGCTGTGGGCAAAATTGTGCCACTTGTCCATACATCACTAACGGCCTCACAAGTTGTATTGTATTGTATTGTATTTTTACTCCATCCTATAGATAATACATTAGTTCAGTGTACAATGTTAATTAGTACAAGGCCTCACAAGTTACACCTTTTACGCTACAGGTGAAACACGCTCCATCACTTCACACATTACTTGTAACACTAAAAACGTGATCTACATGGTTCAATGTAACCGTTGTAATTTACAATATATAGGTGAAACTAAGCGAAGTCTCAAGGACAGATTTAACGAACACAGACGTGCAGTCGACAAAACTAACATTAAATCTAAACCCACTACTGTTTCTGAACACTTTCTCTCTCACTCTAACCATTCTCATACTGACATGCAGTTAATCCCACTAGAGAAAATTCAGTTCTTCACGTGACTCAGTTCGTAAGGCTAGGGAGTCGCATTTGATAGATAAGGCCATGACTCTTGAACCTCATGGCCTAAACTGTCGTAACGAATTATTGTTATCTGGATATCCTTAGTATTTTTCCTTTCCAGTTTTTGTGTTGCAAGTCATTTAAGCCGCTCCCTTTTAAACAATTTTTATTGCGACATTCTCCATCTATATAATATTGTGATTCCTACATAACTTCAGTAACATCTGTAAACTTGAAGAAGGCTGACTGCCGAAATATTGTTATGAAAAAACAATAAACGTTTTTCTGAATCAGCTTTGCAGTAGTCCTTGGACTTCTCGTTTTTGGTTCACGGGCACACCCATATTTAGAATTTCTTAAGTCTTTATTCTTTCCCTGTTTGGTTAAGTCATTTTAGAGGACTTTTCTTACCTGTTTGGCGCGAAATTCAAACACGAGGAGCCGCAAGAGGTGATATTTTTGCACGGCATCTGGCGGCACATCAAAGAATTTGGAATTGAAGGGCAAATTCCTAGAATATCTTCGCCAGTTAAGCTAGAGAAAAGGTGTTAAAAAACCTCGGGATCCAAAACAACACGTCAATCAAAATATCACTTGGACCTTTTCGCTAATGCAGAGCTATCACGCGGCTAAGCTTGAATTAGACATATATTGAAATAGGAACTCGTGTCAATAAATTATCTTAAGTGAGTGGGAATCGCTCCTAGTTAAAAAACTGGTTCACAGGGATATGCATCTCTTCTAGTTAAGAGAAGGGAATCAGAACTGCTTTTCATGCAGGAACAGGTTTTCTTCGGGCTAACTACAAAACTTCAGCTTATTTCACTCCTTGACATTGTCAAAGCGCATTTTCTAAAGATAACTTTTTCCGCTTTATCAGCTTTTTTTATATTCTATTCCATTAATGTTTAACCTCCCTCAAAAAGCCAAATAATATAAATGCTGTTGTTAAAAAAAGCGTTTTACCTGTTTTCGTGAATTCGCTACCCAAAGATCACTATGCTCAAAGGACAGGGCAAAATTTCCAGGAGAGAGGCATTAATTTTTTTTCCCACGAGGTTACAAAGAGAAAATGCAATGATTATTATTAATGTAACCATCAGGTATACTCTACCCACGAGGTTACGGACAGCAAATGCAGTGATTATTTTTAATGTAACCATCAGGTATGTTCTAGCCACGAGGTTACAAAGAGAAAATTCAATGATTATTATTAACGTAACCTTCAGGTATGTTCTACCCACGAGGTTACAGAGAGCAAATGCAGTGATTATTATTAAATGTAACCGTCAGGTATATTCTAACCACGAGGTTACAAAGGGAAAATGCAATGATTATTATTAACGTAACCTTCAGGTATGTTCTACCCACGAGGTTACAGAGAGCAAATGCAGTGATTATTATTAACGTAACCGTCAGGTATATTCTACCCACGAGGTTACGGAGAGCAAATGCAGTGATATTATTAATGTAACCATCAGGTATGTTCTACCCACGAGGTTACAGAGAGCAAAAGCAGCGATTATTGTTTTAAATGTAACCATCAGGTATGTTCTACCCACGAGGTTACAAAGAGAAAATGCAATGATTATTATTAACGTAACCTTCAGGTATGTTCTACCCACGAGGTTACAAAGAGCAAATGCAGTGATTATTATTAATGTAACCATCAGGTATATTCTACCCACGAGGTTACAGAGAGCACGCAAATGCAGTAACAATTATTAGATTTTAGTGCAACTATCAGGTTGAGTTTCTCCGTTAAAAGAGTTTTTTGCTAGGGTTAAACAAGTTTGGCTTTCATGAGTTTCAAGGTGCAAGAAATTATCAGTATAATTATAGCACACAAACATTGTCATCTAATTCTTCGCTCGTAACCGGAATAAGCCAAGAAATGAAGCATATATAACGAAAAATCGTCCTCAGATGATCTCCATATTAAGTAAATGATACTAAACGTTGCGAAAGAAATTATTGTTTGTATCCGTCCTATCCATCGTAAAAGCGAGGGGTCATCGCATGACATCCGGTATATTTAAAACAGAGGTAATACTCACGGGTTTCACGAGTTGTATGCACTATTTTTCGCCGAGAAACAAATTTAAACTTCAATTCTTACCTTACAGTAGTCCGTTCTTTTACCTTGCATTCGACAACAAATCCGTTAAAGGCGAACAAAGCGATTCCGGCACTCTTCTTTATGATGAGTAGCAAGCCGCAGGAACTGAAGCCGCTTGACTGAAGTAAAATCCACCGATATGCGCGGCATTCTCACTACAAATATAAACAAACGTCGCGGAGAAAAAACGACGAGGAGGAAAAAATGCCAGATCTTCGCCTCGGCAATGTATTCCAGCTACCATGCCGGCGTATCTCCAGAAGGAGGACTCAACGTGGGACAAACCTTATGACCTTTTTTTAGAAGCCCTTTGCGCGCAAACTAATTTATTCTGGCGCGAAATGAAGAATATGTATACTGAAATCTAATCCACGACACGAAGATTTTCGCACTGTAGCGCGACATATTAAATGCCTATTTTTACAAGTACGCGGAGAAAGTGGTCCACTAGTTGAACTTTTTTAAGATGAATTTACTCTACAAAAGCAAAATGAAATGTTTTATCTCTATGTTGTTTACGTGCCTGATTAGAAGGCAGAAGTAAATTCATCATACAGACCCCATCAAAATGAAAGTACACGAATGAAACGGAATAAGTCTGGGACGGTTTAGTTTCTACTCAGCAGCTTCTTTGCTTTTATAACAAAAATTTAATGTTGCAGTCTGTTTTAAACATTGGCATATCAACGCGCACAGTCACTGAATGAAAACAACAGTCACGATCACGTTCTTCGAAACCGACCAGACGCGCGCGACCTACCACTGTTATGGTAAGCTATTATCCTGAAGGTGTTAATGTTCGCGTGACAGTCTTCGCACTGAAGGTGTAAATGGTAAACCGAACGGTCGCTTTGATCATCAGAAAGACCTGTCAACTTTGATGATTTAACTGATTAAATTACGGGACAGAAATTTTACTGCTTGCGGCTCCTCGTGGGCTAAAATTCTACCGCTGACGTCATAACAATTGACCAATGGGACTGTGAGCGATATTTCGCGCCGCTCCCGAACTTCCCGACGCAGTATATGTCAATCATTTTTTCCCGCGTGAATTTATAATATGACTCAAATCCATTGAGGCGAAACAAGTCGACCTCGAGACTTTGTCGCTCGCTTGGTCGCTGCGCTACTTCATGCATTGAAGCTCGCTTCGCTCACTTTTAAGAAATTATGAAAGGTAGACTTGTAGCAAGTCTCACCCATATTCCTCAGGGGTAAAACCCATATTTTATTGAACTCTCCGGGGTTGAATACAATTTTAATTAATCTCAAGGGGTAAGAAGAAAAAATAGGTCCTCAACAGGGAGGGGTACGCATATTAAATGCAATAGCCCAAAGAAAATGGCGTTCACGGCTATCGGAAGACGAAATAACTGAATTTCTAACTAACTGAATGGAAGAAATTACAGAAAACGCAATACATATCGCTTAAAGGGTGTTATAATTATCTACTTTTTGAGGAGTATCTGCAAGGAAAAACATCATTATTCTGTTTATATCCTGAAACCGTGCCGAGACATAGGCCAAAGTTTTAAAGAAAGTCTTCGAGAAGGTATTAAAGCTTAATGTTTATAACAAATTATAAATATTTTGAATGAGCAATGAAACAACTGTTGTCTCCACGGCGAAGTTTGTCTTGTGACATTACGAGAACAGCTAATGAATTAATAGCTTTAGCCTCATTGAACTTACCTTTGTCTCTTAATTCCTCCCTGGGTGATTCTACTAAAACCGTTTGCAATTTCCCGCTAATGTTTCCTAATTCACTTTTAATCTGCTCGAGGTCGTCTTTTTCTGTGAAAGGAAGTTTTGGTGAATTGCAGATAAAAACAAATAACTGGTCAATATATTTAACAAACGTTTACCCTAACTTGAACGCACCAGATTAAAACGACCCTTCAGGAAACTCTATCTATTAAAGGAATAAGATCGTTTTTTAGAATACGTACGGTATGCATCTTGAGTAGACATCCTCGTCTTTTTATTTGAAAAATTTTTCACGATAACGCGATGTTCTCGAAATTTTAAGCTGATGCTATGGGGGAAATATTCGCAAAAAAATAAGAGGGGCCCGTTCGACCAAAATCTACTGGATGTTTATCGCTTTGTAAGTGACTTGCACAAGAGGGTGTGTCTCAACTTCAGTAGTACAATTTTATAATGGCTCCTTCAGTGTTGTTTTATTATGCATGAGCAGGGACAAATTACCTCTACTTTGGTTTGATTCTACTGAATCCATCAGACTTTCCAATTGCTGGCTGATGTTAACCTGACTTTCCAGTGTCTGCTTAAGCTGATCTGTTTATTATAAAAACAACGGAAAGTTACTTCCAACCTTAACGAGCACCAAACAAAAAATCTGTTACCTTAATACTAGTTATAGCTATCGCTAAGTGCCAACGAGCAAAGATTTTACCTATACGCGCGCGCTGTTGAATTTGTTTAGAAATGTCATGAAATACAGTAATTGATGAAAAATAGATTAAACCTAATTCGATTGCATTGAAAATAGTGCAAACTTAAACATATTAAATTCTGCAAGCAGAATACTGCAATGCTGATCGTAATACGTGAAAATTAACTCTGCAAGACATCAACAGTGGCAGCCATAGACAGCTGTTTCGTCCTTAAAGGGGCCCACCAGCGGGGCAAAGCCGTTACGTTAATAAACGGGGAAAGCCCGCGTCCCAAATACCCCTTACTGCAGAGATGAGTTCAAAGCAGTCTATCAAGCGCCAGCCCCACAAAACACATGTGGGAGCTGCTGACTGGGAACCGCACAACAGGTCTACAACGACATGCGCGGGGAAGGTGGATCACGAGTTACCTTCACCGGCGAAAAATGTCTGATTGGTCGTCGCGCGACCACGTGACATTGCCGAGTTCAAAATGGTGGCAATACCTCCATCGTTTGTTTATTCCAGTGGAAAGACGGTTAATTGCGGCTTAATATGAGTTGCAAATGCATATCGCATATTTTTAGAATAGCCTAGACTTTTTATTATCCTTTTTCACCTATTCCTGTGGGATTCATTTCCTACGATACTCGCGATTTCGCCGGTTTACAGGATTCAACTTTGGATCACGAAGGACAACAATGTTTCTGAAAAAAGCAGGGTCACTAGAAAGAACGGCCTTTGTTCACAGCTCAATGCAGCAGATAAATAAGACACTATGGGTCCTTTGAAATTGTTTAGACACCTGGTAGTTATTTTATTTACCGAAAAGGTAAAGCAAAAGTATTTTTTCTCCAGCAACACTTTCCAATTTATAAAAAAAGCTTGAACATGAGCTAAATGAACTTTAGTGTCTGCATTCAGTCGTTTCATTGAGAACGGGTGCAATTTTAATATCAAACCTTTAAAGCCGTCTTTGACCGAGCAAGGTTTTTTTTTTTCTTTTTTCCTTTCAACTGTACTGTGCTTGATCTGAATAAGATAAAGAAATTTTTAAAATTAGGGGAATACTATATTTAAAAGAAGAGAACTTTGATTCAAGTGTTAGTTGGAAAAAATACGGATTATATTTTTTAGTACATAAAGGTTAAAAAAGTGATGCATATAGTCTAAAGTGCTAAAAAGGAGTAAAAACCCAGATCTTTCAAATTAATAAATTTTATTGACACTGTCAGGGACATATGCTTTCCCTGAGTACACATTTGTTCGTCAAAAAATCTTGTTTGTGAGGCTGCACTTTGTTTGATTCAGGATCAATCAATCTTTTCTGAATAGAAATGAAAAGTAAAGTATGTTAACATGTCAGATACTTCAACACTGCCTTAGCCAACAAGTAAGAAGAAACTGAACTTCATATCAAAAAACAAAGTGAAAACTACTTCACGGTGAAACAACAACCCCTTCAAATATATATCACATTAAATTCATGCAAAATGAAGACCTGATGAGAAGTTTATAGGAATAGAAACAAACAATAATAACGATGAAACTATAATGTTTGAATGAGATCTGTGAGTGTTCTCTCATAATTCTGACAGAAGATCAAAATTGGAAACTGCACATCCTACACAACTGCATTCATCAACATGATCCAACTAAAATTTCATTAAGACTCAAAGTTTACTCCAAACTTTAAACTCCTGATTTTTTTTTCTTGGAAAGAACTTTTGAATACTTAGTAGCATGTTAACTCTTCATTCATTCATAACTCTGCTCCAAAAAAATTTAAGCCAAAAACAATGGACAGAAAAACAAAAGCATTCACAGAAAAAATTACCCTGTTCATCTCCTTCCAGGATCCATTTTCAAGCAAAGAAGCACCCCCCACAGAAAGCCTTGTGTGCAAAACTTTGGTACTAAAAAATTGTACACGAGGGAAATCATGTCCATAAGTGCAGTTCCTAACGCGGAAAGTAACAAGGACCTCGTTGTGGATAATCCCAAGGCAAATTTATGAGCAAAATAATCTAAACTTCCATCCTTCAATTATACCCTTGCAAGCCTAAATGTACAGCAGCTGTACACATTGTAAACAGAATATTTTTTACAAATCAAATGTTGCTGGACCTATCGAACTGTAGGTCCAAGACGGTATTAGCGTTTTAATGAAAACACTCTCACATTTTGTCATTCGACAGTTCGGATAAAACTCAAATTTCTGTAACATACAAGGCTGTATAAATACGTACTAATGTACAACAACAATGAATGGACAAAATCACGTTTCGAACTACGTACTTTACACTATAGCTTTCGATCCACTAGCTACAAGACAATTTACACACCAAGACAATGGCTAATAGAAATTCAGCACATTTCTTATAATTTCCCTTTGTACCGAGTGACACGAGATTAAGTTGAACCGAGCGTATTAAAGCGTATTTTTCTGCCATAAACAGTGTAAACATGCGGAGATTAAGCATCTAAATATAGTTTTTCCAACAACAAAGAACACGCTAAGTCATATTAACAAAACAAAGCCCAAAAATGTCTGTCCCTCTACTTTTTTTGTTGAATCCGTGATAAGAAACTTGATCTAAACAACAAAAACATTTTGGATAGCATTGTAATACGCTCTTCGATCAACAGTTCAATGTTATCGAAAGCTAGATTCACAATCAAAGTCGAATTTTGACACAAAAACGGGATACACATTTAACAAAACTGTCAATAACACTGAATCAGACCATGCCAATGCGATTTTTCGCCAGTTTCAGGACGCTATATTCTCTAGCGAACACACTTACGTCAAAACTTTGACCAAAATAATTTTTGATCTCTTACAGTGGCAAGAAATTGCAACGCTGTCACTGCCAAAAAAAGCTGCCATCGCTCCTTTCATCTGAACAACATTTCGCGGGCATTTTCGCCTCGGAGCCAATGACATTACCCGAAATCGATCACGTGCCATTTTTTCCAGAGCATGCGTAGACATTTTTCGCCGGTGAAACGAGTTACCTGTAAATTAAAGCAGGGGGCACACATACACCAACCCACGGCTAGGCCATCACCTCACGCATGCGCACAGCCATATCAAACGGGTAGTGGCAGCCACGGACAGCTGTTTCGCCCTTACTGGGGTTCATCAGCATGGCAAAGCCGGCGGTCAGTGACCGGCGAAAACCCGTGTATTTTTTTGTATTTTGGCGGTCCAAGGGGCGCGGTGCGATGACCCAAGACCATGAAAACAAAGGGAACAAAAAGATCCGACAAAAACAAAAACAAACAAGACGTTATGGAGCGTACACTTCGGCGTCGTAGTTGTGGAATTAATTGTAATTGCGGAGGAATAGTAAGAAATGATATATGGTAAGATGTCAGTTTGTGAAATAATGGGATCTGTCAGGATATTCTGAAAAGAGCAATATCCAATAGGCGTACTTGCCAAAAACTAGCATTTCGGGGCAAAATTTAATTGTCTCTGAGATATTCAAGCCCAGTTATGCTCCGCGGATGTCTCCATACAAATCCTTCTAAATTTGACTTGGGTCTAAACGCTTAGACCCAAGTCAAATATGAGGTTATACTGCCTATGAGTAACAAGTCAAACAAAAAAAACGGTGAAAAGAAGAATTCCTTTTTTTACATCAGGCTTCAAAAACAGCATAACAGTCTCATGTACTGATTACTCATGTACTGCGGTCAGAAGATGATTATTATACATGCCAACTCTCCCGCATTATCCGTGAGTCTCCCGGATACGAAACCGATCTCCCCCTCTCCCGTACGGGTCACCATATCTCCCGTATAAAATCATCTTTTGAGCTGTTCTGTGCCTAGGTTTGAAATTTAGCCCATTTTAGCTCAAAACGTGAATTTTTCTTATTTGCAGTACGGTTTCTGGGGCATTTTTGCACGTATTTAGTCACTGAAAAAGATTATTTCTGGCTTGAAAACGATGATTGCGATTTTTGATAGTATGTACTTCATGTAAGACTTTATTTAATGTTCTTAGTCATTCCCATTAGGGAGTGGGTTAATTTGTCGGAGACGGGAGGGGGAGGGGTGTTGAAATTTCGGAGGGTTAGTGAAGAAAAGAGAGTCTCCAGATTTTAGATTTCCAGAGGTTGACATCTCTGTGATTATGTCGAAGTCCCGAGGGGGTACTCCCCCCTCGGGGATTGGTGCCGCTTAGGGTGCTAAAGCCGAAAATGACTGCTGCCAGAGTTGTCTTGGTAAGATTCATGACAATACTTTCAAAAAGTTCTTGGGAAGGAAGTGTTCAAAAGTTATGTTTTCTACTATTAAAATTCGCAATGCCAGTTATGAAATTTGTTGTTTTTGAATTGGTACCTCTTAGGGTATAAAAACACGATTCTGGTACATTTAGGGGTGTTGTCTAAATTTTCCGACGAGCACCCCCGTCCCTTTTATAGGAGAGTACCCCCCCGAGGTCGAAGTCTGCCTTCTTATTAAGTTATTACAGAGCTTAAGCACCAGCGTTTTTGAGCGACGGTTGTCAACAGGTAGTGGACTTTTTGAATCATTGGGGAGTGGTTTGGTTGAAACTCTCGGGTAAATCCTCTTTATAAGAGAAAAGAAACTTAGCAATACAAATTTGTTAGAGTCAAGGCATATTTATAGTTAGAAGGCCGCACCTCCAGTTGGCGTGCGTCGCTCGTAAACGTCTTTGCTTAAGCTCCCTACATAGGTTAGCCTGTCTTCGTAATCGTTGGGTATGTTTTTGTATTTGTTGTATAGTAGTGTCTATCCTGTTATTTAGTCCATCGATAGATAAACCTTCTACTTGTAATATGTCTTCAGCTCCCCGCCCCCCTCGATTAGTTCATAAGCTATTTACGGTTGGGAACTTAGTAATGTAATTAGGTATATATTTATCCAATTGTCAATACAATTTGTTGTTGTTGTTGTAAAGATATGTAAGGCATGGGTGAGGAGTCAATTACGTTGAGCATGGAATTGGCTAAAACGCAATGTTACGAGTTCGAATGTTTTGAGGATAATTATTCACTGACAATCAGCACGCAGGCCAGGATGTCGGATTAACACAAGGAAGTTTTAAAATACCAAAGGAACATAGTCTTTGCAGGGCTTTAAAACACAGCATCCGCCTACACAAACTTGACTTGAACTTAAGTAAAACTAAACAGCCACTGCCAATTATAACAAACTCTCACTTGAACTTCAGAAATCTTACGGCCTCCGCCAACTTGTAAACACAGAACTTGAAAATCGACCTTCGTCACACTTAAAACACAGCACTCCAACTCTTGGGAAGAAAACTTAGTTCGTCAAGACAACTCGCTTGGGACTTGAATAACGTTTCACATAAGGTTATAGAAAATACTAAACAGGCGACTAGTAGTAGCCTCTCAACATATTTTATGATTTCAGTAACTGAATGATGCAAATCTGCTGACTTTTGCTGAAATGTAAACATGGCGTAATTAATTATTCATAAATAATCCAAAAACGTGGAGGTCACGTAACATATGACAGCAATTTTACTACGTAACACTCAACAAAGACAAAACGTCTTCGTGCAGCATTTTGTAACTTTAAATTCATCATAAGACAGTTCGAAAGGAGCGCTCACTTGTGAAATGTTTTTCAACACTCGAAGAGAAATTTCGTGTCTCTGCATGGCCATGTAATATCCTCCATTTATTCCTCGAGAAAATAAAAGACTAAACTCAAAGTGATCTCAAGATATCTCGAAGTAATTCCGGTCTCATTTCGTGAAATAGCTGAAACAAGCCGAAAAGTCATGAACTTGCGCGCCCAATCTTGTCCCGATACTGGTGCATTATTTCATGGCTATTTTTCACGGCAAATGCTAATCCCTCAACTTAGAGCTTCCTCTGATCTGAAGGGTCGCACCGGTGAGTCCGTTCATGCCCTGGGCAAGCCAAAATAATAATTCTTTCTTCTTCGAATAAGTTAAAGAATAAATCAAAGAAATCGAAGTGATCGCGACATATCTCGAACTAATTCGGCTTTCACTTCGTCAAATACCCGAATAAAACCGAAAACCTACAGACTTTGCGTGCCCAATCTTGCCAAAAAAAGTCAGCTTTGATACATTCCTGAGCGTCGCGAATCCTTTGCTTCGCGCTCCGCCGAGGTAAAAACTAGGGTAACCTACAGGGTAAAAAGACCGCCAAAAAGGGAGGGGGCACCTCCATACGGACCCAGCCCGCGAACTTCGCCAGAGAATCGACTCCTGACTAGTTAAAATACTATTTAAAGACTATGTACAGTATGAACGGGCTATATGCAAAGGACAAGAAGGAAAGAACACACAGACTGGAGCCACACTTACTCAAACCTATCTCAAGAAAAGAAACCACAGTTCAACCAACAAAGGCGACCGAGGGGAGCAGCGAGAAGGTAGACACGCACACACAAGCGAAGCCAACTCAGAGCCCAAGAAAACCACAGTACAGCCAACGAGGGCGACCGAGGGGGAGCAAAGAGAGGGAAGACACACACACTCAAGCAAAAAACTCAGAGCCAAGAAGACCAGAATACAGCCAACAAAGGCGACCGAGGGAGACACATTTGAACCACACTAAGAAAGACAGAAATGAAGAGTCACCAGCGACCTTACCGATACGGCCATTGGCTCCCCATTGGTGTTGGAAAAAACGGCCCCTGCGCCGAGACCGAAAACGTTTAAAAAGCAGAGGTAAATGGAAGGACAGGAGACCCTTGATACTAGCGATAAGACCCACTGCACCACAGAGACAATCCGGAGGGACGTTCAATCCGAAAGAAACAAGACAGTGAGCAGTGTAGAAAACGCCGTGAGCAACTTTCCAACAGAGATCAATGGGTTTCCTGTCGAGAGGCATGAAAAACAAGGTCTTCCAGGTAGAATCCCAGTCTAAGTCACCATAATTTGAGCGAAACTTAACCACACAGTGGGGTTGCGCAGGATTCAAAGACAAGAGAAGCTTATAGCAGGATTTGCAGGTCAGGGAGTCGGCCCTGAGTGACGTGGTGTCAGCAGAACCAACAATCAGGCCAGCCTGAGACAAGGAGCCGTGAAGGGTAGTCCATGCACGCAAAAGCGCACGATAAAAAGCTGGAAGACCCGAAGGTACCATGAGGAAAAGAGATAGGGTAGCAAGCACAGTTTGGGGGTAAACCCCAAAACGGTCAAAAAGCCAAAAGGTCATCATGTAGGCCCACGCATTCGGGGCAGTAGCATAACGACGGACCCACTGAGCCAAAATCGCATGAACCTTGTAACGGACGGACACAACGCCAAAACCTCCTTGAATAGTAGAGTCGTGAAATACATCTCTGGCAACCAAGTCACGTTTTCCGCTCCAGAAGAAAGAAAAGACAAGAGTATATTGAGCTTGGATGCAACCCAATCAGGCATAGAAATAAGGGACGCTATGTACCACACTCTAGAGCATTGACAATTAGCGCTTTACCAGAGTACGATAGAGATCGGCCACGCCAAGAATTTAGACATTTCTCGACGGCGTTAATTCAAGGGCGCCAGTTTTCCTCCTCCAGGTTGCCATTACCAAGATAAACACCCAAAACCTTTATAAAGGCAGTGGTCCATCTGATGGGAACGGGTGCATCTAAACGGCCAAACACCCTCCCATTTACCAAGATTAAGCTTGGCACCAGTGCCTTGTTCGAAACGGCCATAAACCGAGAAGATCGCTCTAGTGGCGCGATCATGGCACGAAACGGCAGACGTGTCAGTAGCATACAAGAACAGTACAGGGAGGGGACAAGAAGGACCAGGGAGACGAAGACCAGTAATATCAGGATGACAGCGGACGTTAGCAGCCAGCACTTCCATGGAGTGAACATACAGAAGGGGGAACAAGGGACATCCTTAACGCACCCCACAGGAAGGCTTGAAAGGGCGAGAGGTGTAACCATTGACAAGGACGGAGCTGCCGAAAGCCTTCTCCTGATCCAGACAAAGGAGAGCTACTGGCTGGTTGTACTCATTTGCCAGTTCAACTACATCGAGTAAAAAAGCGACATTCTCGCTGATATAGCGACCCGGAACACCACAAGTCTGATCTGGAGCGACAACCGTAGCAATAACTTTCAAGAGAAGGCCAGTTAGAAAACGAGCACAGAGCTTGTAATCAACTTTAAGAAGACTAATAGGTCGCCAGTTCTTATGGTCTAGGCGATGACCTTTTTTGAAAATCAAGGTAATGAGCGCCTCACGCTGAGAGAAAGGCAGGAAGCCAGCCTCCAGAGGAGCATTGAAAACCCACCAAGCAAATCCCAGAAAGCAACATAAAATTCCATTGGCAAACCATCGGAGCCTGGAGACGTGCCCTTAGCCATACCAAGGAGAGCAGCATGAGCCTCATTAGGCGAGATAGGACCGTCACAAGATGCGGCATCATCAACAGAAAGAGATAAAGTGAGACAGTCAAGGAGATCTGACTGGACCCCAAGATCGACAGGGCAGGCTGTAAAAAGGTCTTGGTAAAAAGAAGCCCAGGACTCGCAAATACCCTCAACATCCGTTACAACCACCCCATTGGAAACACGCACAGCAGAAATCCAACTCTCAGCTCCTCGCTTCTTTTCCAACCTTAAGAAGAAACGAGAGGAGGTTTCACCCTCCTCAGCCCACTTGACACGGAAGCGAACCCGCGCTCCCTCAGCCACAGTCAGATCGAAAGACGCAAGTTGAGCAAGAACCCGCTCATATACCGGCATAAGAGATACAACCCCATCATCGATTTTACCCTTCAGCTGATAAGCAAGGGCAGAAAGGATAGAGCGCGACAGAGACCGTTCATGATGAGCACCACTACAGTGGCGGACCGCAAGACTTTTGAGATGTTCCTTGCCTGGGTTCCACCAATCCTGAAGAGAAGAAAAAGTGGGCTTACGCCACCTCCATCTAGGCCAGAATTCACTAACAGTTTGAAAAAACACAGGATCTCTTTAGGATGGAAACATTCCTTTCCCATCTGCCAGGGCCACGAGGAAAAGATTAAGAGATAGAGAAGCCGAGAAAAACGGTATCGTGATCAGAGAAAGGACATGGAACAATAGAACAGGAAGACACAAGATGAAGCCAGGTAGACGGGAAGCCAATGAGGTCGATGCAGGAGGACAAGGAACCATCGGGTTTCAGCCAGGTGTAAGCGCGACAATCGGGATGGAGATGGCGACAAACATCCAAAACACAGAACTCCCGGAAAAGTAACTCCAGTGAGACAAAGCTTTCAAGGACGGTGACGGCAGGATCAGAGCCCAGACAATCTTTGACTCTGTCAAAAACAGCATTGAAGTCACCACATAGTATCGTGGGAGCAGATGGATCAGCAAAACCCACACATGTAAAGAGGTAAAGAATTCGTCGCGCTCAGGGTTCCGGTTAGGTGCATAGACAGATGCAATCCTGAACACGGAATTCCTCCTGCTTAATTCGGCCATCAGAAAACGTCCCTCAAGTTCAACCTGGGAGTTGACAAAAGAAAAGCTGGGGCGGTACAGAAGGACCTGGCCACGAGAGTGAGCAGTACCAGCGGTCGTAACGGTGAGAAACCAGAAGAGGAAAACCATGAAGTGGCCTCAGAAGCATCAGTAACATGAGTCTCTTGGAGACACACGAAATCACATGATAAGTGGCTCAGCCACTGCAATAAACCAGCACGCTTAATGGGATCACGGATCCCATTAACATTGAGTGTTAAAAAATTGAATGCAACCGTTGGGGTAGGGGAGAACTGCAGATCAAGCTCCGCAAGGGAAGTACTACGGCGAAGACCAGACCCTTTTGGTTTGCTAGCAACAACTTGCGGCAAAACGTGCCTGCCAGACAGAGGCTTAAGAAGAGGGGACTGACGAACACTAGCAGGTCCCACGCGAACCTTTGGCTTTAGCACAAAGGCTACGCCCCTCATAGAGAGACCCAACTTGACCAGAAGGAGGGGGAAGAGAAAGAGGAGAGGACGTATCCTGAGGAGACTGTCGCTCTCATCCATAGCATCAGCAAAGTCGGGGGGAGAATCGGAGAAGATAGGGGTGAGTGATGAAGAAGAAGAAGAGCCCTAAAAAGACTATTCCGTCAGAACTGAGGTCAACCTGACCCTCATCGATGACCTCAATTAAAGGCCGTACACTAGTGGCCGCACCAGCACCAGCCATTACATCAACAGACTCTATCTCAGCAACATTTTCAACAACCGCAAGATTAAGGTTGATAGCATTAACCTCATTCAAGCCTCCAGTAATATCATTACTTTCATTAACAGTAATATCATTGACATCATTTGATCTTTCAGTACTACTATAATTATTAATAACTTCACTTGATCTTTCAGTACTGTTTGCACTATTATCATTAATAACATTTAACCGCTCATTACTAATATTACTTACTGCAGTACTTTCACTATTTCCTTTACTAGCAATACCATCGAATTCAGCAGAATTGGCAACAAGAGAGTTAAACTCTTGGCTGTTGGTAAAACAAATATTGAAAGCAGGACTTGGAGCAGAATTACTCCTTTCGGCAGATGAGCCCTTGTCTTTCCCGACTCTTTTAGAGGCCCTTTGGTTGGACTCCGCCTCAGAGGAATCACCACTGACAGGGACCAAGTCCTGCAGAATCGACCGACTCTGTAGTAGATTGAGCTCGTTATCCTTAAGAAGCTGAGAGTCAGAACAATCACGAGAGACACTGGCCTCCGTACACTTCGAAGATGAGTCTCCCGCTGACCAGTCAAAGGTACAATTCCTTGCAAAGTGCCCGGTTTTCCCATACTTTCTGCATTTGTCCTTGTTAGGGCAGTTTACCGACCTGTGGCCCTGAACGGCACAAGGATTGCAAACAAAGGGTTGACCAAGATACCACAAACGACACAAATACCCGTCCACCATCAGAAAGCGGGGTAATACCCCGATAAGGCAACATCGACAAGCCTGGTATCATTAAAGATGTTTTGGTTGGAAAGAAAAGTCTGCTTTTCGACAGACTTGACTGTACAATAGGCCTCAAATGCAACCTCCAAGGATCTGTCATCCTCCTCGAAAGGAAAACCGAAAACGTGCACGCGCGTAATAGGGGGGCCGCCTCGCAAGATAGAGTACCACAAACCGAAAAGATGCTTTCCCGAAAACGATTTGACCACCCGAAAGTGCTCCGGAGAGGCAAAGGTGACACGGACGACCTCGGCGAAAACCCGAAGAACTTGGGTCATGATCTCGTCTTTGGTTTTGTCAGCTAGCTCGCGGCCGACCTGCAAACTAATGGTTTTTGGTAGGCGCATGATAACAAAAGCGAAGAAGCAAAAAGGCAAAAAGCGAAAAGCAAAAAAACGGCAAAGCGCAAAGCGCAAAAAAGCCGGGATTAGAAGAATGCTAAGGGAAAAAAACGATTAGAGTCGAAAGACGCTAATCCACACAGCAAAAATGAAAATATAACAATCGGTGGCAGAAGAACACCAGTTGTAAGAAAATAAACAATTAATGTCGAAGACACCAATTGAAAGCACAAAAAAAAGGTAAATTAGAGTCCAAAGGACACCAATCTCCAAAAAAGAAACACTTAGTGGCAGGAAAACACTAATTGCAAGAAAAAATACGCAATTGGCATAAAAATGCCGATTGCCAGAGGACCAAGTAATTTGTGTCCAGAAGACGCCAAAAAACTTGCGTACAAAGCAAAAGCTATATACAGCACAGCAAAAACAACTAACAAACTAGAAAAAGTAAGTAAGAGAAAAGGGGAAAACTTACAAAAGTTATGCCCGTAACCACTCAGGAGAGAAAACGGATAAGAGCCCAAAGCTTGAGCAAGTTAGCCAGACTACCGAGTAAGAGGCAACACAGGAAACAACGAACAAACAGGAGCCGGTGTCCACAAGGAAACACACACGCCTCGAAAGTCGCAGCAGAGCTCACCACAATTACGGGAATGTAGACCCAAACGGGTATAATTCTGCGCTACGAGTCTGGGGAAAACCCGTGTATTAAATACCCTTTCCTGCCGAGGCGAGTCCTTTAAATGCCAGCTCCACACAACACATGTGGGAGCTGTTGGCTGGGAACCGCACGGCAGTTCTCTCACGACATGCGCGGGGAAGGAGGATAATGGGTTTGGTGTATGTGTGCCCCTTGCTTTAATTAGTCTTTTGAAGATAGTGAACTAAACTGTTCTACTGCATAAAGAATTTGAAATCCCGACTTAACGCAGAAAATTTTTCGAGATATCGAAGTTCGTGTTTTTGTCCGAAGTTGCGCGCAAGTCATTTTCAGTAAAATTTAGTGATCTTATAAGCAAACTTAAAATCTTCGGAAAATCATATTAAAGTCCGCGAATCCTCAACGTACAGACTTATATTTGGTCTCTTTTCAAAGCTAAAAAAAATTTATGGCGCGCCAGTGAAGCCTTCCGAATTATTTGGCTTCAAAGACACAAAAAATTTTGCTGCGTTATTATTTTTCTTAGCGGCATGCGATAAAAAATTCAAGCCGGCAAGTGCAACAGATATCGCGTAGGATAGAAATGATCCACCCGACGATTGGTTGAAGACGGGATCAGTACGGGACTCAGAAACACGCACACGGCTCGTGGATTCTCTGATCTGTATCACCTGTTCGCTCGAAAACAATGCATTCTCTGTTCTGCATTACGTCATGGTTGCCTTACATTACTCTATGTTACATCGATTCGAGATTTTTTCTGCCCCTGCAGCAATCGCGCACGACTCTATTAGGCTGCCGCCTCGCAGCCTCGCGTCTTCGCTTCTTCGTTGCCAATTACTTACATTTTCTTGGCACGCAGTTAGCCACAAAGCTAGTCGTGATGTGTCAAATTAATCATGTCAGTAGAAGATAACCAACAAATATCAACTTATAATAAGTAAAAAGCAAAGAGAAAAGAAAAGAAAGAATATGTGTAATAACGCCAAAAGCAAGAAAGACAAATCTGTTTAACCCTTAAGCTCCCGGAAGTGATTGTCATCTAACTTCTCCCTACAGTATGAGAATCGGAAAAAGCATCAGCCAGAGGAATTTTAATTTTATATTACCCAAATTCTCTTAACTAATAACCGACTAAATGTATAGCAGCCAGAAAGGAGGATTTCTAATCAGATCTTGGTAGTTAAAAGGGTTAATGGCAGTTGTGAAGAAGCTAAGGTTTAGGATTTCGCAATTTTATTTCTGGCGCATTATCATGGTTGTGTCAAGGTAATCATCTTTGGCTTTTAATATTTCAAAGAGCACAATGTAGCTGATTAATATTTTTGTTGAAACGATTTTTTCTCTCATCCTACCTGGCATCTCATTCCATCGGCTTTGTCTTACTTTTTCAAGAATAAATTTTTGAAGATATTTTTTTCGAAGATATTGTTTTTGGAGGATGATCTTATGTTATAAGTATGAATACAACAATGTAGATGTGTCTGCTGGAGAATAATAGGCAAAAGTCAAGTCCGTCAAACCTTCAATCTCATCAAGTATTTCCTTGGTGCTATCATCATCTTTCTTCCACTCCGTCAGTAACTCTTGGTAATGTTTCTCAATGGTCGGGTCCATACTCTCCGTCTTCAGCTTACAAATAGCAGCTGCATCTGCACCCAGTCCTACCAATGCAGTACTTATTTCTTGCCAATAAGAATTAAATGCGAGATCGTCCACAGAAGCCTGGTTGGCATGCCCATAAACATGGTTTCTATAATACTTCACTCTTGCTATGTTAGCTTCAACACTTGGATCTCCAGCAGGTGGGAGATTGTCCCAACCAGTTGCTGGAGCAGTCAATCCACATATTTTCCTTAACAGCAACATCAAAAGTGTAACATCAAAATTGTTTGAAGACAGGGTCAAGGGATCCGGGGGATACAGCTTAGCCCATTGTGTGGGATTGAGAATTCTTTTCTTCCTAAGTGCTTCCAGTGCTGTGTGTGCTGGTGGTTTTTTTAGAATTCCATGCAGTCCTGCTGGTGGGTGGATGCTGTCAAACTTGTCTCTCAGCGCCTGAGATCCTACATCCACCAAAAGACGACAAAGGCGAGCAAAATTTGTTGTTTCTTTGGAGGAGACATATGAAGGTGTAGCAGAAGCCATTCGAGAACCTGCAAATTGACGATGAATTAGCTTTGTAATGGTTACGAGTGATAGATTACGAGTGATAGAAGGTCCAAACGCACGTGATCAAATCGCGTTCTGTGCATTCCATTCATTCTTTGTGGAAGTACAAACGAATGCTGGCTACATACATGCGACGCATGCGTAATAACTAGAATAATAGTAATAACACTCGTATTTTACCGAAAATTTTCCTGCACTAAGCTGAGATCAGGCTCTACTTTTTATTTTCCTGGGTAAATAGTTGCCAGGCCGGCAAGGCGAATCGAAAAGTCTCCCATTTAGCTAGTACAGTACTTGTGTATCTGAACTACGTGTGCTTGCGAATCGAATGTAATAATGATTGTTGCATTACTTGCATGTTCATTCACGTGATTACCGTGACATCACACGGACCTTAAACTCAACACCAGGACCTTCGTGGCCACATACCAGTCATATTAGTCGGTACAACACGGGAATCCCAAGAATGTGGACAGGTTCGGAAAAATCTCGCTATACAATTAAACGAGTGCCGCTGACCAAGAATAGGCTGCGGGCTCCTCTTGTGGCCCGCAACAATGCAAGTTGTGACTTCGATTAATATCGATTTCCGATATAAATCGATTTATTTATTTAATCATTGTTATCGATTTACTATCGACTTTTATCAGAAAAGACGTCAGTCATTCGGTAGAAGTTCAAAATTGACACGATGTTTTATTGAGTATTATTAGGTCTTCAAAGACTAAAAAGATTTGCATGCACAGTGACATAACAGTTTTCGCCGAACCAATTACGGCCCCTTATGTCAAAAGATGGCAGCGATCTGGACCTCTTCAATGCCCGTGTATTTTCCGCATTGAATTGGATTCCAGTGTGAGCGAGATTTCAAGGAAAGAAATGAAAGATACATTGAGTCGATGGCGCAGGATTGATTGAACATGTAAAGATCTATTAAAACCTATTATTACTCTTTCAAAATATTTCCCCGATTATGATTGGCTCAAACCACACGCAGAAATTCACCATAACCAGCTACTGATGACCAAATTTGGAGGAATTGTACGTTTAATGAACTGATAACGTCAAAAGTGCAGCTTTCTTGCAGGTTAATGCACAGTTAACCGAGAAACCCTGGGGACGAGGTTGAGTTGTTTTGGTTGTGAAAACAAAATGGCGGACATTTCACTCGTTTCAAGAGTAAGAACTAGGCGAATAGCTAAAAACATGGCAAGAACAGCACGACGACAACTCAAAGGGCGACAACCGCTTATTTTTCTGTGACTTCGATGTCCATCGATTTCCAAAATCATTCGATAACAATCGGCAGATCAAATCGATTGATATCGATTATATCAATAGTTGATATAATCGATATCAATCGAATTAAATTGATTTCCGATATCAATTAGTTAGTTTGATCGAGCGCTAGCTCGGCTACCGTGGATTCTCCCTATCCAGTCACTTTGGTCGATTTCTATCGATTAACTACGCCTGTCGTTTGAAACAGGCCTATTCGCACATCTTAGGACACAGATTTCCGAGATTTACACCTCTGGAATGAATTCCTTTCGTAATTGGCCAGTATAAGACACGGACTGCGGACTGCGGACTACGGACTGTGGACTGGGTAAGATACGGTCTACGGACTACGATGGTAAAAACGGAGCTAATCGGTTCTAGGTAAGGAAAAATAAGATCAAAAGATCGCTAAATAGCAGGAGACGTGAGTTTAAGTTATAAATACTCCTGGAAATTCTTGGGGGTATGCCGCCCGGTTCTCTGAATCATGAGCCTAATAAAAATTTTCTACACCCACTTTTTTCAATCGGGAAAGGGGTCAGGACACGGGGAGGTACTCCCTTACATACCCTTTGAGGCGGCACATACCTACATGGCTTAGGATTTTTGGACCTTTTTGGTCTGAAAACACTTTGCCTATGTTGGACTGGAAACGGATATGGTTTCCCGGGAAACTACGGGAGAGTACTTATCGTTTCAATTCCAAATGAATAAGAACGAAATAGAACTATGTGAATTCGAAATGCATTTCAACTTCAGCGTCAACTTCAACTTTATTCATTCAATCTCAATTTACAATTTCACGATGGCTTCCACCCGCATATAGGAGAGCCTAATCGAGGCGGGGGAAGAGACACACAAATTAAAAGAAAGGAAAGGGAAAAAAATAAGTATTTCACAAACAGTACCAGCTGTCGCAAAGTAAAAAAATTATAGTATGTATTAAGCTAATTTAATTACAATATGATTTACACAGAGAAGATAAGTTTAGTCGTGTTCCTGAGCTAGTTAAATTTAAGTTGATGCATGATTTCAGTAATTTCAAGATAGTCATCAGATTTAGATAAAATTTCAAAGAGCTTATTCCTTATCTTTTTCCGAAAAGTAGATTTTGGTGAGTTTCTCATATCTGAGGGTAAAGAATTCCAGATTTTTGGTCCAACTCTTAGAAAAGAACTACGCATTTTTTCAAGCCTTGAGTGTTCGGTATTGAAATCATCATTGAGAGAAGATCGGGTAGGATATGAGTGCACCTCAGAAATCCTAGTAAAGGCTCGCTTGATATTTTCAGGTACAGAATTGTTAGCAACGTCCCACATGATACTACAAAGACAGTCAAAGTAAATGAGAGATAGGAGAAAGACTTTCGAATTTAAGAAAAGTGGTACAGCATGTTGCTTACAATCCGTAAAGTAAATCAGGTAGGGCTCGTTTTTCAATTAAGAGTATCATATTTAAATAAGTTTTAGGTGCAGAGCCCCAAGCATAGATGTCATAATAAAGATAGGGGTTGATAAGGGCTTGATAGATATTTAAGAGGGGACGTAATTGAATACTATGTCTAAGCTTTGCTAGAATTCCCACGGTTATACTTATCTTTAAACCGATTACCGTAAAATTCCGAAAATAAGCCCCGGGGCTTGTATTTTTCAAAGGCACTTTTGGAGGGGTTTATTTTTGGAGGGGCTTATATTCGGAGGGACTTATCTACAGAGGGAAATTTGCGTTTCAAAATCGATTGGGCTAGCCGTATGGTTGGAAGTAAATTTACCGTTTTTGCTTTGTTTCACTGTGTATTTGAGGGTAACTTTCCAAGTACCAGCCCCCGGGGGCTTATATTTGGAGGGGCGATTTAACGGAGGGTTTTTTGCATTACCGGATTGGGCGGCTTATATTTGGAGGGGCTTATTTTCAGAATTTTACGGTAGATTAATATGGTTTTTCCAGCAAAGTTCATAATGAATCAGAACACCAAGGTATTTGACAAATTCTTTCTTTTCTAAGGTACTCAATGCATCTATAGCTGGATCATAAGCTTTGATGGGGGGATTATATGTTAAACATTTCTGTCGAGGACGGAAAAGCACGTAATTAGATTTTTTAAAATTAAGGGTTAGCTTATTAGCTGAAAGCCAGTCACTGACATTACTTAGTTCAGAATTATCTGTTCAAGATTATGGAGGTTGTTGTTTGCATAAACAATGCTTGTATTATCAGCAAATAAATAAAACGAAAGATGCCTTGAAGAATTTGCAATGTCATTAACATACAATAAGAATAAACGTGGGCCCAGCACAGAGCCCTGTGGAAAACCGTACAAAGTTGTTTCACTATTGGAGATATACGAGCCATTTGAAGTGGTTTGTTTCCTATAGGTTAGGTAAGATCGGAACCAATCATTAACAATACCTCTGATGCCATAAAAATCAAGTTTTTGAAAAAGAATATAGTGATCAACAGTATTAAAGGCATTTTTCAGATCTATAAAGAGTCCACAGGTGAATTTACCACTTTTCATGTTACTCTGAATTGTACCACCCCTGAAGCCATATTGGGAGTTAATCAATATATTGTGCTTACTGATAAATTTACTGAGTCTTTGATACATTAGTTTTTCAAATATTCTATTGAATATAGACAAAAGAGAAATAGGACTGTAATTGCTGCCACAGGACTCATCATCATCTTTATAAACTTGCACAATCTTGACAACTTTTAGTTTGCTGGGATGTTTATCTTGGATAACAGATAGATTGAAATGTTAACAAGTGGTTGGCTAATAATGTGTTTGCAGCCTTTTAGGATTTTGACAGGACAAGAGAACATCGTCATGCCATAAGACTTGTAGAGGGGCAAGGCCTGAATTTGGGCACTAGTCAGTGGGAATAAAGGGTTCAAAGTTAAAAGAGTTTGGCAAACGGTTGTTAGTGAGATACTCATCATTTAAATGAGTGCTTAGAAGGTGGTAGTTTGGAAGCAAGGTTATGTCCAATACTAGCAAAATGCTCATTAAGCACATTTGAAATTTCACTCGGGTCAGTTTAGAGACTACCATCGGGTTTTTTACACGTAATAATAGAAATATGGTTTACTTTCTTCTTGGAGGAAGATATTAGGTACAATGATAATTTATTACGATACACTTTGTACTCATCCCATAGACCATCGTGGTATAACTTGTTTTTCTTTGAAGAATTCGTGTTTTTGTTTATGCTCTAATCTGATAATGATGACATAATTTCTGCCTGATCAGGCCTAACCTGTTCCAGGCTCCGAGATAGTTGGGTCCGCTGAATTGAGAAAGTACGAACACAAAAAATAAAACGAAAGGAAACTGATCCCCCACTATCTGAGAGCCTGGAACTGGCTAAATTTGACCAGATCTGAAAATGGGTATGGATTTCAGAGATCTGGTCTGAAAACCAGTGTGGAAAATGACATTTTTTGGTTTGAAAAGGGTCAGGATTTGGAGAATCGGGAAGCACACCCATACCAAGAATTCCCAGAAGTACCCTCCTCCGGGGGTCAGGAGCAGGGTGCAAATCATGTCATCATAATCATCGCTTGGAATATAATGTTCGATGATTCATTTCGGTTATTATTCACGCATAGGTGAGTAATCCCTCCACCCTAAATACTGCTTTTTTACATCACGAAATGCCCCTATATTGACCTTCTAGTCTGAGTTCTTCATTTCCTCATATTCCCAAGGCTTTATTTGAAACGGAATAGTGGCATCTATGAGAATTTTACTCTGACTAACACCAATACTATTTTTTTTTAATTCGTTGCTTCTTATTGAATATTGAATTCTCTTCTAACTCCTTCTTTTTATAAAATTCAGAGTTTAATTTCATTTCCCTTGAGTAGCGGCATAACCTTCCTTTTCCGTTTAGTATGCTTTCCTTCCCCACATGACGCTGACGTTGGGGAGAATAGACTGCGTGACAGCTAAAGGAATGTTTGTGTGTGAGGCAAGGAGCTGGGACTACTGTTTTATGCTAGTCCGCTTTCCGTTTCTCTCAGTTTTACCTTTCTAAAGCTGTTTTTATTGTACCTAGTCCGTGTACTATACTCAGTCCGGAGTCTGTGTTTTATACCTAGTCCGTGTTTTATACCCAGTCCGTAGTCCGTGGTCCACAATCCACAGTTAAGTTATACTGACCGCTTTCGTAATTAGCATTGGAAGTTCCGCTTTCGGTTTTTGAATTACTTAGCACACAGGCAGCCCAAGCGCACTATTTCCATCGAGTACTAAACAGTACTCGGTGGAAAGAAAGTCGACTAAACGGCGTTTAAACCAGCCGTAGGACACAGAGTGGTTATGAACTAAAGGTAAGGGAGCTTTTTGAATCAATATTTCGCGTGATCATGATTTTTTTTCCCTTAGCGTTGTAGATTCGAATACATGTGATAAAGTTCGATCAATAAGGGCCCGAATCACATGTAATAATGCAAGAAATATCGATTTTCGTTATCTTAAAGGCTACTAGTAGCGATAGACCAACAAGAAGACTTCATATCTTTAAGACTTTTTGCATTTATTTGGCATCAGATAATACACTAATAATTCTAGTATATTCCGATCAAATGACCTCTGAAGCCCGAACCCACAAATAGTGCGCTTGGGCTGCCTGTGCTTAGCACGCACAATCATTTGACCCTTCGACAAGTGGTTGAATCTGGAAAAATGATAACTGACGGCCTGTATGACTGCAGCAAGTTAAGAGGCATTTTCTGAGAAAATCGAGAATCGCAAGACACTCGTCAAAAAATCGAATTTTTTTTTATTTTGCCAAAACATCCCGTTTAGTGACCTAATTTAATGAAAAATAGTTTTGGCTTCAAACGATTCATTTCAAAGGAGAAATTAGAAAAGTTTGAAAAATTGATTTTATGCCTATTTTTCGCACAAAACACAGCAGCATGCAACGGCAACTTCGAGAGAAGAGTGAACTCGTAAGAAACATTCACTGATACTGAAACTTCAGCGAATTATTATTTCGTTCTTACTCTTTAAAATCCTAAAGGAAAATTTTAAATAACAATGTTTTAAATTTTTATAATCGACAAGTCTAAAGAGGTCGTATTTGTGACGTTGGACATGCTAGAAAATGAAGGCTAACTTTGACTATTATAAAAGGCATCTGGTATATGCCGCTTGATCATAAAATCAATATAAAATGGTAGCTTGGCTATTTTACTAAATTACTGGAACGTTTTAGCTCTGGAAATCAAATACCATCCTGACACCAAAGCAAGCAAGCGGTGAGAGCTATTGAATAGGAAAAATTCATGCAAATTAGACGGCTTGCGGACGGTTGCCAAACCAAAACAAAAGTTTTACATGAAAGGATTACTCATCATCGCTTGTATCACGTTTTTACAGCAAGGAAGGTTATTTCCAACTTCAGTTGCGTCGTTTTGAGTCACAAAATTCATACTTTTAAGCCAGACGACAAACGTACGTTTGTTCAGCAACTGCGTCCGCGCAATCCGGCCTTGCATCGAGATAAAGTCACAACACGTCGCTGTGGTACTTCAGAAGCAGGAGTAAGAAGAGTTTACTTCAGGCGGGAGACAAAAAGGAAAGAAAATTCACCGTAAACTGGTGACTTCGATTTTGAAAGCCTTTCCTCACTTCAATCATTCGTCAGCAGATAAACATCGCACAAGATCGCATGACCTTTGTCACGATTCACGTTTGCTTTCGACAAGAAATAAACTCATCGAAATAGAAATAGAAACAGGCTTGCTTTATTTGATTTTTTAAATTTCTTTTATAGCCCGCAGAACTTGTTCTCCATGCATTGCTCGTATCTCGCGCTCCAAGTCCGCTTCGCAGTGCTGGCGTGAAAAGTGCAGTCTACTTCTTTTATAGACACCTTCTAGGTATTGACAGGCCGTGAAACAAGTGTATTTTATTTTTCGTGGGGAAAGAGATGTGAGCAGAAAAAAAAAAAACAGCGAGGGGGTGTGGTTAGCCTGCAATGCAGGCGTTTTCTTCTGGCACGCAAATGTTTTTGCTCGCGAAAGCACTGTCGCGTACCCAGTGCAGCGGACACGGGGTGTTGTGCACTGGAGATCGGGAAGTGTCAACCACAGTATAGAATTTAACAGCACAAGTTGACTCAACAGCATTTAATACGATCATCAACTCGTCTGAATTATTGTACACATGCGGTGAAAAATAAAAGGGGCAATTACAATGTACAAGATCAAAAAAGGGGCTAAGACTAATTACAAAAGAAGCAAAATTGAAAGGAAAACGAAAACTAAATACAATAAGCTGAAACTTACGTCTGATCCTGTCTTAAGGGCTATAGAAACTCCAAAGTTACGTAACTCCGAAAAAGATAAAACTGCTCTGAAAACTCCGATGTTGCTCCGTAGATCTCCTAACTCCAACTCCACAAAAACTAAAGGGGCGTTCTCTGATAAGGGTACAATTCACGTGTACAGTTGTAAAACCAGTTAGGAAACAGGAATGGCTAGCTACGTAATTGATTCAAACTGTGAACAATAGTACATGAAAAATACGAGCGTAAAAACTCGATAAATGAAACTGAACAGAAACGTATCTTATTTAAATCAAAACAAAACTAAGCTTAATTACGTAATAAAGTTCTCTTTGATTGAATGTTCATTGTTCATCACAAGCACCATGAAGGCGGCTACAACAATACGAACACGAACAAGGTTTCGCCCACTGCAGGCTAGGGTGTGGTAGGTGTTTTTCCCGCTCTCTTACTTCGTGCCTCACTCCACTGTTCGACGCCTGGAGCGGGCAATGTCAACACGGACCAAGAGGAGTTGCTCTGCTCAAGAGCCATTATGGCTCTTGGTCTGCTAGAAGACATGAATAACTTTCTGTGCCAAAGAGGGTGGGTTGTTATAACAATCGAAGGACGCGGAAACAAGTGATTGCGAAATGGCTTCAAACATCCTATCTGATTGGAATAATACCTATCACAGAAACCCTGTGGGGAGGGGGATTTCAAGTGACAGGGATGATCGAATGGGGGCAAAAATCGAAACCCAAAAAAATTCTTAGGGCTTCAAACAAAACCCCAAACAATCCCTGGACCAAAATTTAACCCCCCAAAAATCCAATGACGACTTTCCGGGTCACAAAAACTTCCAGAGAGCATCAAATGATACCGTAAAATTCGGGAAAAAAAAGCCCCTCCATGTATAAGCCCCCCAATCCGGTAGCGCAAAAACCCTCCGTTAAATCGTCCCACCAGATGTAAGCCCTCCGGGGGGTTTGTACTTGGAAAATTGCCCTCAAATTCAAAGTAAAACAAAGCAAAAACGGTAAATTTCCTTCCAACTGTAAGGCTAGCCCAATCGATTTTGAAACGCAAATTTCCCTCCGTAGAGAAACCCCTCCAAAAATAAGCCCCTCAAAAAGGAAAAATATAAGCCTCGGGGCTTATTTTCGGAATTTTACGGTATAACTATCACTAATCTTCAGATTGTTTTGAATACCCAAAAAAATCCCTACCTCAATCAAGCTACCCAAACTGGAAAATACCTGCCAAAATTTTGCTACCCACAAAAATCCCGAAATCGAACATTTTAAACCCCCAAAAATCCTTCGATCATCCCTGTCACTCGAAATCCGGAGTGACCTCGAGGCTCTCTGGTCATTTTTGATATTTGGTTTTGTTTTCTTTGCGCCATGAGAGGACACAAAGGCTTTTTACTGGAAGTACAATCCCACGCAGGGATACTTTCTCCGCTGGCAGCTAATCCGACTTAATCCTATTTAATATGTCACACTCCTCGAAAGTGCGAAAATTTTCTTGTCGTGTATTAGATTTCAGATACATTTTCTTAATCTTCATTTCGCGCCAGAATAAATTAGTTTGCGCGCAAAGGGCTCCTAAAAGAATCACAAGTTTTGTCCCACTTCGAGTCCACCTTGTGGAGATACGCCGGCTCGGTAGCAGGAATACATTACCGAGGCGAAGATCTGGCATTTTTTCCTCCTCGTCGTATTTTCTCCACGACAAATGTTTATATTTGTAGTGAGAATGCAGCGTATATCGGTGAATTTTATTTCATCCGGCCTGCTACCTCTGAAAGAAGAGTGCCGGATCTCATCGTTTTGTTCATGTTTACCAGTGTTGGCGAATGTAAGGTAAATGAACCGACAACTGTTAGGTAAGAATTGAAGTTTTAAATTTGTTACTCGGCGAAAAATCGTGGAATTGGAATTCGTCAAACCCGTGAGTATTACCTCTGTTACCTAATGTCATGCGATGACTCCTCGCTTTTTCGATGCGTAACACGGATACAAGCGATAAATTTCTTTCGCAAAGTGAAGTATAATTTACTTAACGAGACCATTTGACGAATATTTCTCGTTATATGCTTTATTTATATTTGCTTGGCTTATTCAGGCTACATGCCAGGAGTTTGATGACAATGTTTGTGTGCTATCATTATGCTGATAAGTTTTTGCACCTTTATATTGAAACTCATGTAAGCCAAACGTTTGTTAAATCTAGCAAAACACTCCTCTATTATGGGGGAACTTTTAACGTCTTTCGGGGCCCAATATGGGGTCAAATTTTTAGGGGGAACGAAGCTTGATTTTTGGCCAAACAGACTATAGCTTTTTTCTCTTTCAAGAGAGCGCGAGGCAAACGTCCGTGAGGGCAGTGTAACCCAGTGATTCTTTAGGTAGAGCTAACAAACGTAGGCTGCACTTTAGGTGGCACACCCATGGGTGCAGTGTAACCCAGTGATTCTTTAGGTAGAGCTAACAAACATAGGCTACACTTAAGGTGGCACACCCATGGGTGCAGTGTAACCCAGTGATTCTTTAGGTAGAGCTAACAAACATAGGCTGCACTTTAGGTGGCACACCCATGGGTGCAGTGTAACCCAGTGATTCTTTAGACAGAGATAGCAAACAAAGGCTGCACTTTAGGTGGCACACCCATGGGTGCAGTATAACCCAGTGATTCTTTAGACAGAGATAACAAACAAAAGCTGCACTTTAGGTGGCACACCCATGGGTGCAGTGTAACCCAGTGATTCTTTAGACAGAGATAACAAACATAGGCTGCACTTTAGGTGGCACACCCATGGGTGAAGTGTAACCCAGCGATTCTTCAGCTAGAGCTTACAAACATAGACCATACAGGTGTACATCACATGGCAACAAGTCTTCCAGTTAAAACTTTGTCATAAAGTGCTAAACCATGGCACTTCGACTATTTCTTTATCGCACGCTTGACACATTGTTTTGACGCACAATTGATTGGAGAAGTCGTATTGTCTAAAACCATAGTAAAAGACAAATTGAGGCCTTGTGTAAAGATACTTATATCTAAATTAAGGTTTTTTAATTTTCCTTTAAAAAAACTATTGCCGCACCTTCAGAGACAAGCTGTTCTACAACACTCTTCCGTTATAATAAAGGCTTCTTTTTCAAAATTCAGTGCGGGGTTGTGGAACAGCGAGCTTGTTTGTATTCATGCATTTTCTGTTAGGTTATAAGCGATTAAATCGTATGCAGCGAAGAACAAAACGCGAAGCCGTCAGATATTTTAGAAGCGTGTTATTTACAGTGCTGTGCATTATTATTGCTTAACTAACTAGCTACGCGCTGATGGAAATAAGTTTCGGCCGCTTTAAATTTTGAAACAATTCACTGGTACTGGATAGTCATAATTTTGGTGATTTTATTAATTTTTCCGATCCATTTTTTTTTCATCTCTATTTTCGCGGCTTTTGCTATACAAACTAAATTTATGTTTAGTTGTGATGGCATTGCACCGCTTAATCAAGACGGCTTTGGAAAAAACTGAATATATTGCGCTTCGCGATTTCGCAAAATTGCTGCGGAAATTAAAAAATATTTTCTTGCAAAAAAGCTTTTTCACGCTTCTTTCTCTAGTCAATTATCTCGTTTATCTCGTTTTCTAAAGGTCCTTGAGAACAGAATAAGACAATATTTTATTACCTACAACCTAAAAACCTGATTTATTTTGACCAGAACGAAACAAAACTGACCTCTGAAATGGAAGAAGAAAAGCCTTTTTATTTTTGTGTGTCTATACGGGAGCCAATTTTTTTTTTTTTCGCTATTCACGCCAGCACTGCGAGGCGGAGTTTGAGCGCGAGACACGTGCTATGCACAAGGAACTAGTTCTGCAGGCTATAAAAGAAATGAAAAATATTAAATAAAGCAAGCCTGTTTCTATTTCTATTTCGATGAGTCTATTTCTTGTCGAAAGCAAACGTAAAAATCGTGCTAGTATGCTAACAATTTCCTGTCACACGCCACCCGTGTGAAATACCTCCATAAATGGAATTCCATGGAAATCCATGGAAATCCATGGAAATCTATGGAAATCCATGGAATTCTATGGAAATCCATGGAAATCCATGGAATTCCACGGAACATCCATGGAGTATCCATGGAGTATCCATGGAGTTCCATGGAGTATCCATGGAGTTCCATGGAATGCCATGGAGTTCCACGGAGTTCCATGAAGTATTGATGGAGTTCCATGGAATGCCATGAAATTCCATGGAGTTTCCTTGGAGGTCCATGGAATTCCTGGGAATATTGTAGAGTTCCATGGAATGCCATGGGGTTCCCTGAAGTACTGATACAGTTTCATGGAATGCCATAGCGTGTCCATGGAGTTCGATAGAATACCTTGCAGTTTGTATGAGAAAATCCATACAAATTCAGTAATCAAGCAACTCATCAACTCGTTAATCACATGTTCAAGTCTGCACTTTTTATTGGATAGAAAAATAGGAAACATTTGGAAGTTTTCTAAAAGCAAAATAGTGCATTTAGTTTAAATTAGACAGACAATGCAAAAGTATTGTTCACCGACAGGCGACGCTGAAAGTCCCTGTGTAAGAAATTTTATTGCTAACTATAAAGAGGAATGTTTTGAGTGCTTTAACAAAAAAATGATCCTGTTAAAAAAAATAAATATAGAAAATTGTTTTTTAGTAGGGCTGTCTGCCATTTATCTTTTAAAAGCATTGTGGCTTTTAAAATATGAGAAGATCACTGTTATTAACAACATGCAGTTGCTTCATTACATTGACACAGTGCTGCTATTCGTACAGGACCCGTACACCCACGTGTATTTGCTATGACATACGGGATCAAGTCTCTACTTAAAATTTATATGAAATTTTCAAGTCTCTTGAAATTTCTGATCAACAAATTTCCATGAAAGTGTAAGTCTCTTCAACCACTGTTCTATTTTTAAGGAAAAAATTTCAGTGGCAAATTTTGTAAAGAAGAAAAATTCGATGTGGCAAGATTGAGAACCGATCCAGGGGCGTAGAATCCACTGAGTTCGTAACCTAACCACTCTAGCACGGAGTAGTAACTCTCTGCTAGGTGGAGTTTGAGTTTACTCATATAAAAACAACTGTAACCCTATTTGGAAGCTTACCGTTTCGAGTCAGTGCTTTAATAGCCCTAATCAGTTTAGTCGGAATCCCGTATGAATAGCAAATACAAGACGATGTACGGGTACCGTACTTAAATAGCCAGTAGAAAATGATCCCACTAGGCACATAACTCTTCTCGGTATCGAAGTGTTTTTTGTTGAGAGCTAAGATTTTCCCTAATATATAGATTTAGCCAGGGCTAAAAGCGAAGCTCCAATTAATAAATTTATAATTTAAATCAAAAAATAAACTTTTAATCTACAAATCATTTAACTTAATGGCACATTCATGTGACGTTTGAGGGAAAGGCTAAATTATTTTAGAGTGAAACATCTTACATCGAATTGATAACCTTATATGTACACCCAAAAAATAGCAAACATCTTCGATCACATTCAAGATCACGGTAGATTAGGCCTCGAAAACAAATTCTTGGAAAACAAATCACGCCGAATTTTTTTGCGTTCGACAGGTTTACTTTACAAATTCTTGCCAACAAATCTGGGGTGTTTAAACCAACCTTTTATAATTTTTATACATCACCTTTGAGGTGAAACAGTACTATTTATCATACAGACCTCGGACAGAATGCAGTATTTCAAAATTTTTCAAGACAAATTGCACTCAGTCAATATTCAGAACGATCAATCGTAAAGCGAAACCGTTCAAAAATTTCCAAAATCACCCATATGGGCAGCCGGTTCTCGTTTCTATAGTGCGAGCTGTCAGTGTGGTCGAGTGTTTGAATGAACTTTAATAGAGTTAAGCTTCAACATAATAGCGAATTTATTATTATTTTTTTTGTTATTTAATGGTTTCAGTTATAACGATGTGTAATCTTATAAAGCGTTTGATACGCGCGACATTTTTGAGTACTCCTGCAAGCGATGGTCATGAACGATGAAAACAAACGGCACAGACAAGCGATTAAAATTGCAAGAGAGACTACTAACAATAAAAAAAAGAAATATAATTCGGTGAAAAATTTACACAGATAACAATTTTCATTCATGAAGGCAAGTATTAAAGTGTCTCTAAAAATCCTGAGTCTCGGCGTGAAGCTTTATAAGCCGGCTTAACGGCGCGGGTGTTTACTGTTTTCCAAGGTGATCTCCTCGAAGCAAGAAAATCGTTCAAAGTTTTCTTTCTACAGCCAAATTTATAACTAAATATTCTTCGGAACGTTTTCTTTCTATCTGTGGTGAGCAAATATATCTGAAGGCTTTTTAAAGTTCTGTAAGTAATATATCAAACATGAGATGCAGTGTTTCATCACCAGATGAAACACCGAGAAGAGAGTTGAAAATACGACGCGCAGCGGAGTATTTTTTACGAACTTCGAGGTGTTTCATCTGGTGATGAAACACTGTGTCGAATGTTTGATATTTCTTCTCAAACAAAATCATTTTTGAAGGAGAAATTAAGGATGCAAATACTAAGCAGTGTTTCATCCGATTTCCAAACACTCATTAAACATTAATTTCCTTTGTATTTTCTTAATGAATTATTAATGAGTTTGAGAAGCTTATATCAAACCGTTCAAACCTGATACTAGGTCAGATCATTGACTCAAACTACGGCTACAAACGTGCATAAACTTGCCGCATAAACTGTCAGCGTGAATGTGCAAGACTTCATGAAATTAGATATAACAAAAACAAACATCAAATACAATAGTTACTCAGGCTTACCATTCGAGATTCAGTTCCTGAAAGCTATCAAGGAAGGCCACAGTTGCTTGAGACTTTTAAATCCTCTTACGCATTAAGCAAGGTGAAAAACGAAAACGATGCCATCCGAAATCGAATTACCAAATTTTGACAAGCGACGCGTTCCTCAACCAAAAACCCAGTAAACAAACCAGCCATGAATAACAGAAGACTCTTGATAGCAGCTGTATTTCATTTTGTACATCCAGAAGAAAAAGACAGTTAAAAACATCACAAGTTGACACAAAACTCTTCAGCTTCAGCTGTCAAAGTAAACAATTTTCAAGATGCTGCATAGTTTTTTCGCATGAACTCACCTGTCAATTTTGACCAATCAGAGTATAAAAATTGGACGTAGAGCGTGACCAACGCGGGACCATGGTAGGATAAGGTCTTCCCCGCCTGTACTTTTAAAAAAACTGGCTGAATTTTCGCTTCCGAAGTCAGTTTGAAATCAAAATTCTAATAGTGCGGGGCCATAGTGACATAAACACAACATATTTGATATGAATCCTTGGAAAAAATAAACTTGAGCCTGCGATCATTTCAAACTGGTAATTAATCAGCGGATAACTTCAAAAAATACTTGACCTCGATGGGTCAACACTTGAGCCCGCGGTACGGTCAGGTGATACTGGTCAGCGGATGTCCTGTTTTGACAGCTGTCAATTGATCACAACATTGATGTGAAATTAGTTTTCTCTTGGGCTCCCAAACTAGTTAAAATGTGAGAGTAAACATTGGTTTTCCTGTGGTGCGGACGGACGGTCGGTCGGCGGTCGGTGTACGGTCACGTGATTACCAAATTTTCTGGGATGGGTAGATTTACTTAGCAATGGGGCTCCGCCCACGCGCGCGCTTCGTGCGCGCGTGGAGCTCCGCTATTACTCGAGTCTAACCTGATTGATGAGATTGCTTTTCATGGAGTATTGCGGCGAACCTACACAAGCAATATTAGAGTTTTTTGCCGCATCCGTGGATAGGCTAGTCTGCTACACAGCCGATTTTAGTGGTGAGGAGCGTTGCGTGACGACACTAAGAACGGCTGTGTAACAGACTATGAATAGGCCTGCTGCCTTTTTCAAAGGTTCCCTCCCCTGGGAGAATAATGCTATATTTTCCTCTCCCTGCTTTACTCTTCGACAGTGCCGGAATAGTACAATTAACTCTGAAAGGGACCACGATTGAAAGCCTTTAAAGACAGACATCTCTACGATCGTGCCGTGATTTGACGCCATGTTTGGTGCTTGAACTAGCGTCCAGGCCTCCCCGCTTAAAGACTTACGCGATCACGTGGGGCTTTTGAACCAATAGAAATGCGCAGAAGATCAGTTTTCTTGGTTCGAATCTTTAGGCGGACTTCTGTGCAGTACGACAGTGTTGTGTAAACGGATTGTCTTTGCAGTGAATGCATCCGAAAAAGATGTTATTTTCAGCGCAAAATATCACTTGTTAGGTTGCTTAGAGTTGGCTTGTTTCAAATCAACTTCGATTGAACAATGACTCAGCTGGATCGCACATTAAGGAGGAAGGTAAGCTTTATATGTACACAACTCGTGTTTGGTTGCTCAACTGAATTCGTCCGCTCGATTGTCTCTGCTAGATTTAGAAGGGCGACTTTTCGGGTGCCGTTTATCGGTTTTAATTTGTAGTTTTCATCTTTTTTCTTTATACAGATATGAATGTGGTCTTTCCTGCAAATTGCCCTTGGAATCCTTTGGAATAGTTACTAATTCTGGCAGAATTAGAAATCGAAGACTGTACTTCGATGGACTGCTTCGATGTATAAGAAGAAATATCATATTTAGAAATTATAATTGTAGCTGACGCCGTTTTTCCCAAGGATTAGGTAGGACTTGGCTATAACTAAATACCATGGTTCTGATCGAGGAAATAAGTAGCACTTCCCTTTTTCGTGGAATTAAATAAAGCCATGTTTAAGTCTTACATACTGACGGTTTATGCATTCAAGTATTAGCTTATTTTTTTCTCTCAATTATGCATCTGTTCGCCTGTTACTTTTCTTAAACACCAGGCCAACATTCCTTGCTTTATATTAAATCTAAATTTTACATTTAAGCTACTTCAATATGATTGCTGCATTCTAAACTGCAATGTATATAGTCACAAGTAAACATTTATTTGTTTTAGCTACAGTATGTCAAATTTTTCCACCAAAAGCATGTTAACTATTGATTGAGATTTATGCGGTCCTTTTATTGATTAAATAAATTGAAGTGGACCAAAATCTGTTATGTATTCCATTTGATTCACTTGATATTTTAAATGTGTAATTCCTGTGAATTCCATGAAACTCCCTGGAGATCCATGGAATAATCGATGGAGTAGTTTCTATGAAATTGCATGGAACTTTTCCATGGAATTCCATAGAAAATGTCGATGCAGGAATTTCCATGGAAATTGGTGTCCTAATCATTTTCCATGGAATTCCATGAGAAATGTCCTAATCCTCCATGCAAATATTTTCCATGGAAATCTATGGAGAAATTTCCATGGAATTCCGTGGAAATTGATGTCCTAATCCTCCATGGAATTCCATGGAGGTTTTTCATACGGGCAATGGTAATGATATGTGAATCAGTATTGTTAAAAAGAAAACAAACTTTATCATGGATATTGTAATTTGTAAATAATGTATTTCGGTCGTTGATTTTAACAAAAAGAGTCTTTCTCAAATCATTGTATTGATCACAGTGAAATAATATGTGCAGTTCATTTTCAACCGAATTTTGGTTGCAATGATCACAGATGCTAAGGTCTTCAGGAGTTTTTGGGGATTGTAAATCTTCCAGTTTCTATTTTTAAATTATGATTCCTATCCTAAATGTGGAAGCTACACGCTAATTCCGGATATGATTGATGAATGCAGAGTGATTTGTTTCATTTTTGAAGATGGAGTACAGTGGGGGTAGAATTTTAGTTTTTTATTTGTTCTTATCAAATTTAGCTGGTGGTTTTTCAGATGTTTTGACAAATTATTATCAGCTTTGGATAGGAAAGTAGAAGGGTTTTTAAAGTTAACTGATTGTTTATGAATATTGAGTTGTGTACTCAAAAGATTTATTTTATTTATTAGACCTGATTTATTTTCTTCGGCCATTTTATCCGATATGTTTAAGCAGAGTTTAGCGATGCTGTCAGGTGGTTGATTTTCAAGGTGAATCCAAAACTTGAAAATGTTTATTGTTATTAGTAAATTTAGAGATAATCTACCAAGTTCATTTCTCGATGCAACATTCGGTGAACGTTCCTTTACACCTAAACACATCCTACAAAAATGTATACCAATCGCCCCAGTCGTCCGGATCGTCTCGAAATATTTTGAAACGACTGAGGCGATCGGGACGATCCGGACGATCATATGGAAACCAGTCTTTTAAAGCGATGGTGAGTAATCCTTTCATGTAAAACTTTTGTTTTGGTTTCGCAACCGTCCGCAAGCCGTCTAATTTGCATGAATTTTCCGTATTCAGTAGCTCTCACCACTTGCTTTAGTGTCAGGATGATATTTGATTTCCAGAGCTAAAACTTTCCAGTAGTTTAGTACAATAGCCAAGCTTTATAATAGTCAAAGTTAGACTTCATTTTCTAGCATGTCCAACGTCATAACGTCGGTCGTACAGGTTACTTACTTTTAGTACTGCCTGGTGGTCAGCACATCCGCAGTCGCAACACAGCGCTCGTTCAGCTAGTTAGCTGCTAGTTGTAGGTATGATGTGATTTCTTCCTCTCTGAATGAAGAACAATCTCGGAAGTCACGCGACAGTGACAGGCCTACACGGACTCCCCTCATGGACCTCATGAGTTGCAACTCATGAGGTCCATGAGTCCACTGTACTCCATCTTTAAAAATGAAACAAATCACTCTGCATTCATCAATCATATCCGGAATTAGCGTGTAGCTTCCACATTTAGGATAGGAAATCATAATTTAAAAATAGAAACTGGAAGGTTTACAATTCCCAAAAACTCCTGAAGATCTTAGCATCTGTGATCATTGCAACCAAAATTCGGTTGAAAATGAACTGCACATATTATTTCACTGTGATCAATACAATGATTTGAGAAAGACTCTTTTTATTAAAATCAACGACCGAAATACATTATTTACAAATTACAATATCCATGATAAAGTTTGTTTTCTTTTTAACAATACTGATTCACATATCATTACCATTCAGTGTGACCGGAAATCGGTCACACGCTTAAGTCACGTTAGCATACTAGCACGATTTCACGTTTGCTTTCGACAAGAAATAGACTCATCGAAATCGAAATAGAAACAGGCTTGCTTTATTTGATATTTTTCATTTCTTTTATAGCCTGCAGAGCTAGTTCCTTGTGCATAGCACGTGTCTCGCGCTCAAAGTCCGCTTCGCAGTGCTGGCGTGAATAGCGAAAAAAAAAATGGCTCCCGTATAGACACCTACTTGGTATTGACAGGCTTTCTCCACGACAAATGTTTATATTTGTAGTGAGAATGCAGCGCATATCGGTGAATTTTATTTCATCCGGCCTGCTACCTCTGAAAGAAGAGTGCCGGATCTCATCGTTTTGTTCATGTTTACCAGTGTTGGCGAATGTAAGGTAAATGAACCGACAACTGTAAGGTAAGAATTGAAGTTTTAAATTTGTTACTCGGCGAAAAATCGTGGAATTGGAATTCGTCAAACCCGTGAGTATTACCTCTGTTACCTAATGTCATGCGATGACTCCTCGCTTTTTCGATGCGTAACACGGATACAAGCGATAAATTTCTTTCGCAAAGTGAAGTATAATTTACTTTATTTATATTTGCTTGGCTTATTCAGGCTACATGCCAGGAGTTTGATGACAATGTTTGTGCGCTATCATTATGCTGATAAGTTTTTGCACCTTTATATTGAAACTCATGTAAGCCAAACGTTTTTTAACTCTAGCAAAACACTCTTCTATTATGGGGGAACTTTTAACGTCTTTCGGGGCCCAATATGGGGTCAAATTTTTAGGGGGAACAAAGCTTGATTTTTGGCCAAACAGACTATAGCTTTTTTCTCCTTCAAGAGAGCGCGAGGCAAACGTCCGTGAGGGCAGTGTAACCCAGTGATTCTTTAGGTAGAGCTAGCAAACATAGGCTGCACTTTAGGTGGCACACCCATGGGTGCAGTGTAACCCAGTGATTCTTTAGGTAGAGCTAACAAACATAGGCTGCACTTTAGGTGGCACACCCATGGGTGCAGTGTAACCCAGTGATTCTTTAGGTAGAGCTAACAAACATAGGCTGCACTTTAGGTGGCACACCCATGGGTGCAGTGTAGCCCAGTGATTCTTTAGGTAGAGCTAACAAACATAGGCTACACTTTAGGTGGCACACCCATGGGTGCAGTATAACCCAGTGATTCTTTAGGTAGAGCTAACAAACACAGGCTGCACTTTAGGTGGCACACCCATGGGTGCAGTATAACCCAGTGATTCTTTAGGCAGAGCTAACAAACATAGGCTACACTTTAGGTGGCACACCCATGGGTGCAGTGTAACCCAGTGATTCTTTAGGTAGAGCTAACAAACATAGGCTGCACTTTAGGTGCTACACCCATGGGTGCAGTGTAACCCAGTGATTCTTTAGGTAGAGCTAACAAACATAGGCTACACTTTAGGTGGCACACCCATGGGTGCAGTGTAACCTAGTGATTCTTTAGGTAGAGCTAACAAACATGGGCTGCACTTTAGGTGGCACACCCATGGGTGCAGTGTAACCCAGTGATTCTTTTAGGTAGAGCTAACAAACATAGGCTACACTTTAGGTGGCACACCCATGGGTGCAGTGTAACCCAGTGATTCTTTAGGTAGAGCTAACAAACATAGGCTGCACTTTAGGTGGCACACCCATGGGTGCAGTGTAACCCAGTGATTCTGGAGGAAGAGTTAAGAAACATAGGCTGCACTTTAGGTGGCACACCCATGGGTGCAGTGTAACCCAGTGATTCTGGAGGAAGAGTTAAGAAACATAGGCTGCACTTTAGGTGGCACACCAATGGGTGCAGTGTAACCCAGTGATTCTTTAGCTAGAGCTTACAAACATAGACCATACAGGTGTACATCAGATGGCAACAAGTCTTCCAGTTAAAACTTTGTCATAAAGTGCTAAACCATGGCACTTCGACTATTTCTTTATCGCGCGCTTGATACATTGTTTTGACGCACAATTGATTGGAGAAGTCGTATTGTCTAAAACCATAGTAAAAGACAAATTGAGGCCTTGTGTAAAGATACATATATCTAAATTACGGTTTTTTAATTTTCCTTTAAAAAAACTATTGCCGCACCTTCAGAGACAAGTTGTTCTACAACACTCTTCCGTTATAAGAAAGGCTTCTTTTTCAAAATTCAGTGCGGAATTGTGGAACAGCGAGCTTGTTTGTATTCATGCATTTTCTGTTAGGTTATAAGCGATTAAATCGTATGCAGCGAAGAACAAAACGCGAAGCCGTCAGATATTCTAGAAGCGTGTTATTTACAGTGCTGTGCATTATTATTGCTTAACTAACTAGCTACGCGCTGGTGGAAATAAGTTTCGGCCGCTTTAAATTTTGAAACAATTCACTGGTACTGGATAGTCATAATTTTGGTGATTTTATTAATTTTTCCGATCCATTTTTTTTTCATCTCTATTTTCGCGGCTTTTGCTATACAAACTAAATTTATGTATAGTTGTGATGGCATTGCACCGCTTAATCAAGACGGCTTTGGAAAAAACTGAATATATTGCGCTTCGCGATTTCGCAAAATTGCTGCGGAAATTAAAAAATATTTTCTTGCAAAAAAGCTTTTTCACGCTTCTTTCTCTAGTCAATTATCTCGTTTATCTCGTTTATCTCGTTTTCTAAAGGTCCTTGAGAACTGAATAAGACAATATTTTATTACCTACAACCTAAAAACCTGATTTATTTTGACCAGAACGAAACAAAACTGACCTCTGAAATGGAAGAAGAAAAGCCTTTTATTTTTGCCGGCTTCGGCCTGCCGACGCGATCTTGTCTGGTTTGCTTTCATATGGTGACATTTTCCTGGCAGAAGGGTGTCGGGAAAAACACCTCGCGCTGATCATACGTGACAAAATTCGCCGCACCTAAGCTAATGAAGAAAAGTCTCCTGGAAGGCTCCATACAATTCCTTATAACAAAATTATAAGGAATTGTATGGAGCTCTCCTGGATACTTACAGTGCAAGCCTTGTGTGTCTTCTCATGTTTGTATTACAACCCAGCAAGAGAGGATAAAGGGGACAGAAAAGGTATCCCCATACACACCCTATTCCATAGGTAATTCGCCTCGAGTTATTTTTAAGACACACAGATCCCAAGGGGGATTAGACAACAGCCAATCACATAGCGCGAATGTGTTCCGCGTGGATGACCCACGCTCAGAGCCACGCGTCCTTCATGAATTGACGCAGAAAAAAATGGCGGAAGACTCGGAGAGCGATATTGCTATTCGTTTTGTCGATGAAAATGACTAAAGAGAGATTTCTGCTAAAGCGGTGTCAGCGAAATGGAAATTAAAAAAGAATCGCCCTTCTTGTCTGGTATAGAGCTAACAGTACAGCAGGGAAATCCTTAACACGCTTGAATATTCTCTCAGGATCATTTGTTATTTACAGTTCGAAGAGAGCAATTTCTGGTTTGATGTTTATTCTTTTATTAGTCTTTTATGATTCAACAAAAATAACACTTGGGGCCCTACTTACTTTATTGTATAAACGACCGGTTTCAATAGACCGGCGAAATTTCTCATTTTATTAAAGCACTGAGGTTACGACAACTTCGAGTTAAATTGATTTCACGGGTTGTCAAAGAGTCCAGCGATACCCTTTTCCCAGGTGAGTGCCGACTCATTTCGCTCTCGATCTCTTTACGCTTTCATTGCCTTTCGCCCGACATGTTTTGCAAGGCGTTTAGTCATGCGAAACCTCCACGAAACATCCACGAAGCGCGCGAGGTAACTTTATCCCGATTCTGAAAATAACTCGAGACGAATTCCCTGTGGAATAGGGTGTGTATGTGGGGGATGCCTTCTCTGTCCCCTTTATCCTCTCTTGAACCCAGTTATTCATTAAAATTTCTTTCAGGCCACGTACTGCCGGGTGATATGTCGTGACAAATGGCAAAATTTTCGTTTGAGTCTATTTTTTTTTGTTGGAGAGCCAACCTTCTGTCCTCGAGGCGGACTCCTGTTAGGGACCTCTCGATGAAGTTATTATGGAACTTAAGATGGAGACGTTTTCGGGGCGACGGCAACTTCAACCGGACGTGACGTCATGATTAGCGCAATATTTGCGCATGCTCTTGTTCACCACATTGCCGTCGTGCTCTCATCGGCGACGTGAAACTGGTCTGTTAGGCGTTGTTGAGAGAACGTGAGTATTTAACTTTCATTTCAATCAGGTTTGTTGCGTTTAGAAACCAGAATTTTGCAGATTATCGTTCTTAAATTGTCCTTGTTTTCTTTGAGTCACATTTCAAGCTCGATTTTCATGCTCTGTTATCTGAACTTACATCCTTATAATGTTTCTATGTTTCATGTCACAGATTCAAGATCCAATCTGATGGCAAACAGCAAACCGTAAGTGAGCTTTACATGGACAAAATTGTCCTACGGCACAAATGAAAGTATCCAGACAAAAAGCATGAACTCCGATATTTTAATTGTGTGTTTTAAGCTCACTTTTTTCGTTAGAGTATCGTTTAAATGAAACCTATGTATCGAAAATTGTCTAGAATAGTAGGTAATACCACGTACTAACGTGGGAATACTGAAATAAAGTTGTTGTTGTTGTTGCATGCAAGCAAATAAGCATTAA